CAAGCCCTGTATCCTCCCACTCTCGCAGTTCTCCACCCCTTCTCGCAGTACAATTCCAAGCTTACCTACCACAATCCTACCTCAGTTCATTTTCTTACCTTTCTGCCACGGGCAGAAAAAAGTATAGGGTTTCCTCTGTGGTAATGGAGTCAGGGAGAGATGCGTTGGAGCCATGTTTCACAGACAAATATAATGTCGAATGTAGCCGTATTTAGTAAGAGGAGAAATTCAGGTATTTTATTTACAAGGCTTCTTGCATTGAGTAGCTTGCATTTAAGGCCAGTTGTGGTTAGAATAGAGGTAGGGGCGTGCGTGCCTAGTTTTGAGTGATGTTGGATTGGATGCTGCAATCATTGCAAATACATGGTAGTTGCAAACAAAGTTTGATCACATGACTGTGGGGATTCTGCAACAGTCATAAGTCTGAAAACTGGCCATGTCACTTTTTTCTGTGCCATTGTAACTTTGAATAATCATTAACGAATGGTTATAAGTCTAGTATAGGAGTGTCAAACTCAATTTCATTGAGCACCACATCAGGGTTCTGTTTGACCTTGAAGGGCCAGAATGGGCATGACCAGGGTAGACGTGGCTGCATGACGTCACTCGTGTTGGGGGAGCGCCTGTGGCAGCCTGAGCACTCTGCCACCAAAAATGGGCTTCCAAGCTCTGTTTTTGGCTGGGATGGCTTCCTACAACCCTCTGCCAGTGAAAACAGAGCTCGGGGAGCCATGCATAGCCCTCGTGAGCTCCATTTTTGGCTGGAATAGCCTCCTGCACTCTCTGCCATTGAAAATGGAGTTTGCGAGGGCCACATATGGCCCTCCTGGGCTCCATTTTGGCTGGCAGAGACACCACGGGCTGGTCCTTCACTGTTTTCAGAGCAGCCCTGCAGCCCAGATTTAAACACCCCATAGGCTGGCTCTGGCCCCCGGGCCTTGAGTTTGCCACCCTTGCTCTAGAATTACCTCTATAGCATGGATTAAGTTCCATTTAATGACATAAAATTTTTCTAATAATCAATTCAACTTTTTTTTAGGTTAGCAGAACAGATACAGAGGTAGTATGCTGCCGGTTCACACTGGTTCTAGAGATCCGGTAGCGCTGGTCAGTAGTTGGCCCTGCCCACTTGCCCCCACCCTTTCCTGTCCTATATTGCCTTTGTTTGTAGCTCAGCTGATTCGTGTGGCAGAGCAAATTGCTACGGCTAAGCTGTTTTACTCACCAGCACTGACGGTAAATTTTCAAGCTTAAAATTTCCCGTTGTAAAACCCTCTGTGTGCACGCAAAGCACATGTGCGCGCACTAGGCGCACACCCACAGAACCAGGAGTAAAAAAGTTTGCATTCCAACACTGGACAGATATACTAAGGATTATATGGAGGAAATACTTTTGTCCAAGGTGATCAGTAATATTGATAATGCTTTAAAATAACAGCACACTAAGTCATGTTTGGGCACTAATCATAATTACAGTACTTATCCTTCAAACCTATACTAACCAAGACAACAGACCACACTTGGCCAGCAAAAAAGCAACTTTTATTGTTGGTTGGCATCACAGAGATCTTTGTGTTCATTGGCCACCTGACACTGACATGTTCCGGTTACTTTTTCCATTTTTATTTTATTATTTTAAAAAAATGAGGTGGCCCAATCAGAGTCAATACTATGTATAAGACAGAGAGAAAGATACTGTGTGTAAGACAGAGAAAGGTTGAGCTTTCTGCACTGCACTGGCATTCCTGTGGGGGTATATGATGCCCTGAGCTCTCATTACCTAAAGAAACATCTGCAAAAAAATAACCAAGAGCAGTAAAGAATCCACAGTTTAACCCTGAGCTACAAATATTGTCTTCTATTGGTACCAGCATTCCTGTTTCACCCTCAAAGACAAGCTGCAAAAACACACAGACAAAAAATGGAAACAACAAAGATGCTGCAACTGAAGCAGACTCGTTTTCACTGCTTCTGCTTGCCATAGTTGGATCAGGGAGGCAAAAAGAAAAATCACTTTTTCTACCTAATTCTGATGTATGAAGTGCCATTAAGTAAAATGATTATAAATCTACAGCTATAAAAATACATTATATGGTTGTCTCCATATCAAGCTAAGCCTAACTATACCAACACTTATCAGGCAAACCTTTTTGTATATTTCACAAGAAAGTTCTTACTCATGGGCATTTATAATTAATTCTGATTACCATAAGGTGAACATGTTGAACCCTATTATATAGTAGCTCAAATTATATCTCCTCTGTTTTGCTGACAAAAGAGGCCTTAAATAAACAAAAGCCTTCCAACTTAAAGTCCCAATTTGCAGTATACAACCTGATTCTGATGTATAAAGACATCACGAGTCTATATCACTGCTAGAAACAATTGCCATACATCAGGTCAAGGATGAATTCCTAGTCATGTCATCAAACAGACAGTTCAGAAAGGTTAGTAAATCAGCAGCCTTTTTGAACTGAATGCCAGCAAAATGTTGGAAAAATCACTTTGTTTTCCAATGAAGATTCAGATTCTTCTTGTTCAAATAATCGTATCTTAAATAAGTTACAATGCTGACATCCAAAGAGGCACAATATTCAGAATATTCCAAAGTACATTCATGACAGCTGCTAAAACAAAGGTTTAAGTAATGTATTGACCAAGCTTTATAGGCCAGTTAATCACAGATTTAAGTAATGTATTGACCAAGCTTTATAGGTCAGTTAATCAGTTACTCAAACCACTTGTGCAATACTGGCCAACAGATCCCCCAATTTAAGGGTTAGTAATATTGATGAAAGGTACCAATACAACTACACTGTGTGCACAATTATTAGGCAAGTTGTATTTTGGAGGATTAATTTTATTGTTGAACAACTATAGTGCTCTGGGTCAATCGAAAATGTTAATTAACCTCAAGCCTGAATATTGAAGAAAGTAAAAGTGAGATTTTGGCTTTCTTAGGAGAATATATGTGCACAATTATTGGGCAACTATGAGTGTGCAGAATTATTATGGAAATAAATGAAAAAATCAAAATTTGCCCATCTCACCCGTTTATTTGCATGTTAAAGTAAGAATAATAAACAGCTCGAAATGTACAAATAAGCATTTCTGACATTTTAAAAAAATCAGTTTCCTGATCTGTTGACAATCAACTTTTTGTGCAGCAACAACCACAGCCTCCCAGACACTTCACAGAGGTGGACTGTTTTTCTTCACTGTAAATATCCCATTTAAGAAGGGCCCACAGGTTCTCAATAGGGTTTAGATCAGGTGAGGAAGGGGGCCATGTTAAGGCCTTTACTGGCTAGCCACACAGTGGTGTACTTCAATGCATTGTCCTGCATAAAATAATGGCTTTGAAAGATGTAGACTTTTCCGCTGCTTGAAGAAAGTCTCTTCTAAAAACTGGCAATAGGTTTGAGAGTTGATTTTTGAGTCCATCTTCAACCCAAAAATGTCTAACTAGCTCATCTTTAATAATACCAGCCCATACCAGTACCCCATCTCTAAGTTGCTGGCTTCTGAGTCGAAGTGCAGCTTTGTACCTGTTACTGATCCAGCTACAGGCTCATCCATCTGGTCTGTAGAGTCACTCTCAAGTCATCAGTCCATAAAACCTTTAAAAAAGCTGTCTTCAGATATTTCTTGGTCCAGTCTTGCCGTTTCAACTTATGTGTCTTGTTCAGTGGTGGTCAGGTTTAAGCCTTCCTTACCTTGGCCATTTTTAAAAGGGCTTTTAAAAATAGGGGAAAATAAATGGGATTGGCATGTTTAAAGAGGAATACCCTTGCATGTTTCTAGAAAGCAATGCTATAGTCTTGTACTGTTCTCAGGTGGCAATCTGTTATTGCATCTAGAATATAAAAATCTGGACAATCATTAGTTGACAGTGAAAAAAAATTCAGGAAACAAAATCTCTTCACTGCTAATTAGTGATTGTCTAGATTTTTGTGTTTTACATCTGCCTAACCCTACTTTATAAGATCTTTAATTTAGATCAATAGGATTTGGGGTATTTCTGTATTGACCATGCTGAAAGTATACTGGAACCCCTAATTTTATAAAATGGAATTATTTGGACTTTCTTCTGTCAGAAGTCATAATGTGAATCACATGGTATACTGCAAGGGGCTTCTTGCATGTAGAATTATTTTAAAAAACAGCCTTTGCTGTACCCCAACCGGTGCTGCAGGCTTCTCCAGAAAAACAGAAACTTGAATAACAGGGCTGCTTTGTTTACACAATTTCACAGTTGAGAAAGTCCAGAAATATTTCACAAGAGTTCTCCACTCGTCTACTCGTTGTAGAATACCTTATGCCTCCAGACTTGAAATTCTAGACCTAGAAAACCTTGAAAATCAGTCTTTGGTCTGATCTAAGTATGGTATATAAAATCATACATTGCAATGTCCTACCTGTCAATGAATACTTCAGCTTCAACCATAACAACACAAGAGCACACAATAGATACAAACTCAAGGTTAACTGCACCAAACTTGATTGCAGGAAATACGACTTCAGCAACAGAGTGGTCAATGTCTGGAGTAGTCAATGTCTACCTGACTGTGGTTTCTTCCCCAAACCCCAAAATCTTTAGCCTTAGATTGTCTACTATTGACCTCACCCCCTTCCTAAGAGGTCTGTAGGGGGCATGCATAAGCGCACCAACGTGCCTACCGTCCCTGTCCTATTGTTTCTTTTATTTTTCTTATATGTACCCATTTCATGTATTCATAACTATGTATATACTTATACCTATTATCTTGTAAGCAATTGACAAATAAAATAAATAAAAATAAATAAATAAATAAAACATCAACGCCGAAAGCGTTTGGATGAAAGCGGCCTGCCTTCCCTCTCGCCAGTCTCTCCGACTGAACCGTCTCCCGTCAGGCGCGACCCAGTTTCTATCACGTGACGACGAGCGCCCTTTCAATCTAAGCCCTGCCAGACCAAGGTAAGGGGTGGGCGGGGCCCGGGGCAACCAATGAGAACTAGGGTGCGCATCGCTGCCTGACTTTAAGGGAGGCGCGAGGCAGTTTGCACCGGCAGAGAGCGCGTCTGTGGCACCCACCACTTCGAAGCATCATGGATTGCGGGGACGAGGCCGTCGTTTTCGTTGCTGCTGCAAGGACCCCGGTCGGTAAGTCGAAGCTATTCCTGAGGCCATTTCCTGCCTCGGTCTCGGATTGCTCTGAAAGGGGCGTTTTCATGGAGTGGCATATCCCGCTTGCTCCCAACCGTGAATAGTCCATTCATTCTGAAGCCTGGGGGAAATTTTGCCTTCGCCCATTTTTTTTCTTGTTATGCTGGCTGGTATGGGAGGAAATCCTGTACTTTTTTCTGCCCGTGGCAGAAAGGTAAGAAAATGAACCGAGGTAGGATTGTGGTAGGTGAGCTTGGAATTGTACTGCGAGAAGGGGTGGAGAACTGCGAGGGCGGGAGGATACAGGGCTTGTTAACTCCTTAGATAACTGTTAAGAATTATTCAGGTAACAGATTGGAAATGGGCACCGCAAGTCCGATGGAGTTTAACAAGCCTTCATTTGAGCTGTCGTGTGCAAAATAGCAGGCTAAGTCGTTCTTCTAACGTATTTTCTTACCCCCTCCACGCTACACCGACATTCCTCCTTCCATCTGTCCTCCACAAGGTGGGAGTCGGCTTGGCGTCTTCGCTCTCTTTATTAGTCTGCAAAGTCATTACGTTCATTAGGAGAACAGTTTGAAACACACGGGAAATTATTAGCCAGAGCGGGTGTCAGAATGTGGACTTCATCACTCTTAAGCTCCAGGTCAACGTTGAGTGGAAGTTTCCCCCCCTTGGTTCGTTTATTTATCCAATTCATTCACCGCCCACCCCATCTAAGTGTCTCTAGATGGCTTGTGATTAAAAGAAAAAGGGTGAATGGCAGAAGAAACTGCCTTCTACTATGGCAGAAGAAACGATACAAAAAAAAATAGATCCCTGCTTGCTTGCCTATCTGTTGGCTTATTTGCAGCCGTTGCTTTGTTTGTTTTTTTGCGTAATCCCTGAGGCTCCTCCCTTGCTTGTACTTTTCTCGCAATGATTGGACAATGAGCTATAGAGCCACCGCGCGAAGATGCGCTGTGATTGCTTCGCGACTCCCGCTGAGGAATCCCTCTTGCTCTGATTGGCGCTTGGCCGGTAGAACCAGGAGAGTCTGATCGCTTGTTTCCTGCCATGAATAAAACCCGTCTCCCGGTCTTCTATCCAGAAGAGGACCTAGTCAGCCTTGGAGGCTTGGCTTCCAAAAACAGTGCTGCATCTTCTCATGGGATGGTTTGTTCTCCATCCTCTCTGATCCTTCCCTCTTCTGATTAAGTTCCTCCACAAGGTTTTATTTTATTATACCTGCAGTACACATAATTATACATAACTCTGGCAGACCAAGAAACGGCTATCATATTTGAAGAATGAGTTCTCAAAGTGTTTGACAGGACTTCAGACCAGATAATAAAACAAAATAGCAAACTTTTAATGAACAAAATAGATATAACTTAAGTCCCAAGTATACCCATAAAATACTATATTTGTTTATTTTCCTAGAGTTGTAATCTTTGTGTGTTACCTAGAATGCTTAAAAGAGGAATAGGATGAAAGGAAAGAGGGAATAGAGTAGAATTAAAACACCTATTTCTTATTTTTATATTTTATCTAGGATCCTTCAATGGTGCCTTGTCAACCCTGCATGCCCACGAATTGGCTTCAGTAGTCATTAAAGAATTGTTGGAGAGGACAAAAATTGATCCTAAAGAAATCTCTGAAGTTATACTTGGACAAGTATTGGCTGCAGGTATGAACTTGATAAAGCATTTGTCCAGGATTTTGATCTGGATCCCATTTATGGCCTTTTTTACATTTTTGTAATGCGGAACTACACACAGAAAGAGAATTAATTATAGTTCTTCAGTTTTACCTATTGGAAATTTGTACTTTCTTTCTTCCCATAGGTTCAAGGTCAATCTCCCAAACTAGCAATTTGTGTAACAATGTCTAATGTTCCTGGAAATAGCAGATGGAACAACTTTGACATTTCCTTCATACTCTTGCATTGATTCTTCTTCTGCAGTTCCCATTACTTGTTGCAACAGAAGGGCTTCCAAGCATGCATGCATAAATCAGAGACAAGAGTGAAGGGTGACAAATAAGGACAGGAATGTAATGAAGTCATGGTGCTTTCTTTTCCCACAATTCTGGGTGTAGTTAAATCACCACGTGGCAGTCTGTTCTAACTGCCTGTATTGTTGCTCATACTTTTACTGCTTCGTATCCCTTTGGGTCTTTTCCTCTTTTAGTTTAACCTTCTCCAGTTTTATGACCTGCATATGTGCTTTTCTATGAGAGTCAGTATGATGTAATGATTAAGGTATTGCGCTAAGAGTGAGGAGATCAACCTGACCTAGAAACTATTTGGGTGATTTTGATCCTATGAATGCAGACCAGCCTTAGAACAAATGTTCACATTTTGCCAGAGGTTAAAAGTGAAAAACAAAACCATACACTACCTTCATCTGCCACAACAGAATTGAAATATAGTCCAAAGACAATGAAGGTCAACCTAAGAAAACTGAAAATAAAAATAATTTGAAAAAAATTAAGACATGGGCATTGAAATGAAGACTGAAGCATTCATTTTTACAAAGCAGCACCTGGAAATGAGGTGGGTCAATTTGAAACAAACTGGTTATGAGTAATTTACAGGCAAATAACATGGCCACCTGTCTGTATGTCACTAGGAAGTGAGGTAGGAGAATGAGCTTAAAACAATTTAATATAGTGGTTCCTGTGTGTTTATTTCTGTAGGTGCTGGCCAGAATCCTGCTCGACAAGCCAGCGTCGGGGCAGGGATTCCATATGTGATACCAGCTTGGAGTTGTCAAATGTTATGCGGATCAGGCCTGAAAGCCGTCTGTCTCGGGGCTCAGGCTATTATGACAGGAGATTCCAGTATTGTTGTGGCTGGTGGTATGGAAAACATGAGCAAGGTAAGGCTGCTTGATATTCATAGAGGTTAAAGCTTGCTGCTCCTAAGACGCTTATGCTGAAAAAGCATGGAAGGATGATTTCCATGGGAGAATTGCATTAAAGAGTACACAAGCTGTACATTGAGCCTTTCTGAAGAGCAACTTCTTTCTCACCAGCAACCATAATAGCTTGGGCTTCAATGGGCTGAGGCTTGACATAACTCCAAGATCCCTTCCAATCCCATTATTCTATAATTGTACCCTGTCCAGCCCAATGTGAGATGGTTATTGGCACACAAGCTTAAGCGCAGTTATTAAAGCATTGTTTCATAAACAGGACATGACTCGATGCCAAAACAAATCATATATGAACACCACCAATATCTGAAACTTTGAGTGATAGAATTGAGTGGCTCCGTACAACACCAGGAGATTGAGTAATTATGCTTTCCTAGATTACTTCCTGATTCATGCAAAGCACAAAAGTAAATCTGGAATAAATCAGGAGTTTTTTGCATTAAGATATAATGAGATGTTTTTGTGTGTTTATAAAAGTTCTTGAAGTTTAAAAAAAAACACAGCCATGTCATTTCTTCAGAAGAATTAGCACTTTGTGCTAAATACATTGCTTAGCACTTTATGCTCAGCCGAAAGCAAATAAGAACTTGGCTTTGGGTTAGCTGCTATTCATGCCAGAACACCCCCAAAAACCCATAGGGCAGGAGTAACATAATTTTACAGGAAAAGCAGGTTATTGCTAAACATTGAAGGGAAACTAAATTGAAATAGACCCAAGTAGACATTTTGGGGGGAAAGGAGAATTGTGCAGCTGTGGTTTAAATACCCTGGATAACTAATATGTAGCTTGTTTGCTAAGATCTTTCTGTTTTAAAGTAACCTGACTTATTTCAACCATAGTTTATCATGAATTGAACTTACCCACTCTCTCCTTTGAATTTCTAGTATATAGGAGTATAAGAAGTAGGAAAAGTAGTTTGGCCAGAGAGAAAGATAGCTAGAAATAATCTGTTTATTGTAGGTGTCTGAGTGTACATAAGGTTAGGGTTGGTTTTATTTATTTTTTATCATTACATGTGTATTCACAGGGAGGCAGGGAGAGAACTTTTTTCAGGTGTGTGTATTTCTTTCAGGTGGATATGCCTCTAGTCTTAAAGAAATATTATTTAGCTTATTTCAAGCCTTCACCTTCCTTCTGGTTAGAATCTAGGGGGAAGCAATATGGAAACTTATTTTTTCTTACATTCTCTCATTCATACATACCATGTGATTCTTCTAATGGGAAATATCAGGGATCAAAGTTGAGAACTGATGTATACAAAGCATGTGCTCTGCAACTGAGTTGGAATACTTCCTCTATATTAGATTTATTTATGGCCGATGAACAGAAGGATCATACAGTGAGAATTGGTGCCCCAAAAGTTATTTCCATCCACTTCTAAAGAAAGTTGTTTTCAATGTCTTAAATGCGTTAAAATATTTTTTCCCCAGGCTCCTCATGTCATTCATCTGCGTGGTGGGGTGAAGATGGGGGAAACCTCTTTGCAAGACACTATTATCGTAGATGGCTTGACAGATGCTTTCCACTGTTATCACATGGGTATTACAGGTAAGCCACGTGAAAATAGCACTTACAAGGAGATTGGATGAAAGTGTGTCCCGGTTTTATTTCATAGAAAAACAAAGAGTGGACAGAAAGCAAGAATTATAAGGATGGGAGGAAGAATACTGAGCTTGCCAGCTGTACTTAAAAGAATCCCTGTACCCAAACGCTGCAAAAGCATGGAAATACCTACATAAGAGCTGTGGTGGCGCAGTGCTGCAGGCTACTTCTGCTGACTGCCAGCTGCTAACAGTTCAGCAGTTTGATCCTGACCATCTCAAAGTTGACTCAGCCTTCCATCCTTTTGAGGTCGGTAAAATGAGGACTCAGATTGTTGGGGGCAATATGCTGACTCTGTAAACCGCTTAGAGCAGGTTGTAAAGCACTATGAAGTGGTATATATAAATCTAATTACAATTGCTTTTACAACGGCTATGTCCATGCATGTATGATCTAGGAAAAAAAGTAAAGATAAAGAACCCCTATTTAGGGTGACATTCCCCAAACAAAGAGCCTCTCCCAGGTCGTCATTGCACGCTGAAAGCGAGATTGGCACAGTGGTTGGGATGTTGCACTAGATGCAGAAGGCCAAGTTCTAATCTATCATCTACCAGGAAAATTCATTGGACTTCAGGCCAGTCTCTCTGTCAGTTCAACCTACCAAAATAGGGGGAAGGAGTGCTGTATACAATATCTTGAGCTCTTGCCAAAAGATGTGATATAAATAATAAAATAGTAATAAATAACTACAGTTTATTCCAGTGGTTCCCAAACATTTTCGGTCCACTGCCCCCTTGGTGCTACAAACTCATCCTCGGTGCCCCCCACCCAGGGGTGGGATTCAAATTTCTGTGGGTGTGGCCTAATTTGAGGGTGTGGTTTGCTGGTCACATGACTGGGTGGGCATGGCTTGCTGGTCATGTGACTGGGTGGCCGTGGCCAGGTGACCGGCAAACCAAATACAAGTGGTCCTTACTTAATGACCGGATGTTTAGCAAGTGTTCTAATTTATGATTGACCTCCTCAGAACTACTTGACCAGTTTTTGGAGTTTTGACATCTTTAGATCAGGGGTCTAAATCCCACCCCTGCCTGCGTGTGTGTGTGAGAGGGAGAGAGAGAGGTTGGATCAGATCTATCTATCTATCTCTCTCACCAACGCCAAAAGCCACCGTCAGTCAAAATTCATATTAGTGGTCTCTGGGATTTAAAATTACGAGTTTGGTGGTCCCTGAGGTCCAAAAGTTTGGCGACCCCTGATCCAAAGGGATGAGCCTGAGAGAGGCAGAAAGAGAGAGAGAAAGAGGAAGAAAATAAAGAGAAAAGGGAAAGAAAGAAAAAGGGACAAAGAAAGAGTGGGGGATGGAAGGAAGGGAGAGAGAGAAAAAAAATAAAGGAGGGAGGGAGGGGAAAGATAATGAGATATCTATTCTAGTCCAATCACCTGCTCCAGCAGGGTTATAAGGGAGTGTGTGTGTTTGTGTGTGTGTTCTCCTTGTAATTTACCAGTACGTTTTGGTTTTGCCTTCTTCAGAATTGGCACTGTAATACATTGGGGAAAAGTAATTTTTAGGGTGGAAATCTGGTCCAATGGATCCTGTTTAAAGCCTCAACAAAATGTGAGAGCTTCCTGATAGTCTTGACCATGTTTCGTCCACAAAACCTTTAATAGAAGCCAAAGAGGTTTCAATGTTCTGGCAAAGATGTTTCAATGTGGAGAAGGGCCTCAGTCTAAACTAGGCCTCGTTCAAGCTGATGCATCAGGTCTCTCTCTTTCTCTCTCTGTCTCTCTCTCCCTCCCTCCTTCCTTCCCTCCCTCCCTCTCAGACTGGCTTTGCTCTACTTTCCTGATGTGCCTGCGGGGCCGGCGCGTCGAACATGGATGGAGGGAGGGAGGGAGGGATGGATGGATGGATAGAGAGAGAAAGACAGGCAGGCAGGTGCCGGCTCTGGAGCGGTGCTAGTCAATGGGTGAACCTGCAGGGCCGGAGCCTCGAATGCCCCCCTGCCGCCTCTTAGCACCCCCCTGCCAGCTCCCTTGCCTCTTAGCGCCCCCCTAAGGCATCCCACCGCCCTCCAGGGGGCGGTACCACCCACTTTGGGAACCACTGGTTTATTCTATCAGTATAATTGCATTGATTGCATACTTTTACTTATATTTAATGTATATTATATATAGCATGTAATAAACGCTGTGTTATAAATAATCCTCAAAGGTATCCTCCACTTTTCAGTCATTCACACCTCTTGCTCAGTTGATTTTTCAATAGCTTCTTCTGTCCTAATCAGCTAATCAAGTAGGATCAACCTCACAGGACTTCAGAATTACATTTCTTTGCCTGTAGTGTTGCGTACTCATTTATTCAATGGAAGTAAATTTCCAGCAAAGCTCAATTCAAAACTGGTGCGAATGTGGAACATTACTTGCTGGAAACGATGCATTCTCTTATCAGTATTAGAATAATCAATGTAATGTAATAAGTAATATAGTAACTAAATTGTGATGCATTGTGATTAGAGTATCTACTGCATTTTTTAATTGTTTCAGCTGAAAATGTGGCCAAACAATGGAAGGTTACTCGAAAAGAACAAGACCAACAGGCTGTAATGTCTCAGAACAAGGCTGAAAATGCCCAGAAGGGAGGATATTTTGATAAAGAGATTGTACCTGTTGTTGTACCTTCTAGAAGAGGTCAGTGAATAGTTTTACATACTGGACAAAGGGCTGGGATAACTATAATGATTCATCTTTGTGATCATTGTTATTTGCTTCAATTCCTCCTCCCTCATGTGTTAAAATAATTGGTGTATTGGGAAGGGAGAGAGACTTACTACCCTCAGGTATAATTACTTAGTCTTTACTGCTAGATGAAGATAAAATTGTGAATGTAACCATTTTGTGCTGCCAATTATAAACATCTAGACTTTGAAAGAAGAAGTATAATTACAGGTCTGGAAAGAATATCATCTATCATTCACTGCTGCCACAATGTCAGTTTTGAACTGGTTCATAAATTGAACCAAAGTTTCTTCCTGTTTCAATAACAATGGTTTTTTAAAATAATTATTAATTTAATAGTAATTTAAAAAATAATCCCACTGAATTTTAAAATTTCTTGTGAGTTAATTCCAAGACATACTAAATCAATTTTTTGAACCTTGTTATGACTTTAATCGGCTAAACAACACAGATTGGGTTCATGCTGTACTTTTCCACATTACTAGAAGTGATAAACTGAATTCATATATTAAGCCACAGAGCTCTACATTGGGATTTAAATACAGCATGAGCCCAATCTGTGTTGTTTAGTTGATGTTAGTTGATAAACTGTATGGCTTAATATATGAACTCAGTTTAGGCTAGAACACATATAATTAAGGAGTGTGGGAAATTGCAGTCACTGAAAAGGTAACTAATAGACATTGTCATACAAAGGAAGAAATAAATATAATGTTACCATTTTTAATAACAAAGCATATGGTACATAGCTTGTGAACTGGACATTAGAGTTCCAGGATAAAATGCTACTGCAGATGACCCCTCTACAACACTCAATTGAAGGGCAGTGCATTTTTTAAAAATAAAACTTAAAGTTTCAACAAAGAATTAAATGTAAGAAAGAGAAAAATAAAGAAGTAGAAAAGAAAAAGTCAAGAGAACAAGGTTAGGAGGGCAGAAAAGGATATATGTATGTATGTATGTCTATATGTGTGTGTGTCCACTTTCTTTGGTAGAGGTACAAATGTGACATACTGTAACTTTTTACTCCTAGACTAAAAGTAACACACAGTATTTCTCTAATCATAAAATAGTTCTGATCGTCAAATGCCAAAATCAAAGTTTCATTTGTCTTGGATTCAAGAAAAAATGTCCAAAAGTGGTTTCCAAGTAGAAACAAAGATACCTAAGAATCTTTTCTTTGATCAAAGTGTTTTGTCATCTCCATTTCATCATCAGTTCTTCCGTTGCCAGTTTCTGTATGTCCTTCCATCCCTGTGGCATACGAGTGTCTTCCTGAAGTTATCATAAATAAAAACAGATCCTTGTATCCATCAAGAAAAATCTCTGGTTTCAATTGTGCATTCCAAGAATTCTCTGAATCAAGCTACATATCTGATCCTAGTATTTCTTAGACTTTTTACATTTCAACCAACGATAATAAAAATGGTACCGGCTGATTACATTTCCAACATATACATATCCTTATGTATCTTGGCAGTTTATCAGATGTTAAATATCATCGGTAAGGGGAGTGCATATCTTTGTTGAAAAAGCATGTGAAGTAGACCTTTCCTTTTCTGCACCAAGTATAAAATGGCTGCTGTTGAAATACTTGTTTTTGACAGGCCCCACAGAAGTTAAAGCTGATGAACATCCTCGCCATGGGTGCAACCTAGAAACTGTGGCAAAGTTGAAACCTTGCTTCATAACCGATGGGACAGGCACCGTGACTGCAGCAAATGCCTCAGGTTGTTTTGTTGAGCAATTTAAAGATAAGCCATAAAATTGTATCTGTTCCAGTTTTAGCAATCTGATTTTATTAAGGATGAGGAATATTTCTGCCATTTTTCTGATTCAATTGATAACACTTTGGATTTAGTGAAAGAAACATGAATTATTGGAGTGTGATGTTGTGTGAGTATGGTCTTGGATGAAGAATTCAAAGGACCAGATAGAAAGGACATAAAACTAAAGAAAAACATACAAAAAAGCATTCAAAATTATACCTAATGCTAAGTCCACCTCCCTCAAAATGGCAAAAAAAAAAAGAAAGAAAAGAAACCGTGCTATTGATTATTAACTACAACTGCAAAAGTTTGGATTCTGGTACTAAAGGTGCCTAAAAACCCCTGAGTTATGAATGTAATGGAGCCTGCCCATTCTATCCATACCTCGAGGATTCATGGTACCTTGAATGAGATGTACTCCCTGCTTTCGCCCATGCATTTGCTAGTTTAATGAGTGGACGAATGCAGAGTTCGTTAAGTGCACATGAGGTATCTCAGGGTGGAGAAGGCCATGGGAGCGGGGTGGCTGGGATGGAATAGGCCCCAAAGGCCTCCCCAACCCTCATGCTTCCCACTCCCTGTTGTGCCGGACTCATTTACCTTGCAAAGATCTGCCTCCTCTACTACAGTTTCTCCTGGGCGTGAAAAGTATTTGCTGCACCTGTCTCCTACTCCTCCCCTCCTCCCTCAACTCCTTTCCACTACCAGATAGAGACCTGTTGGGGGCTGGAGGCTTCATCTGCATGCAAATGGGGCTTTTGAAAAAAGAGGGATTCACTCCCTATTGAAACACTCCATAGATGTTTATGAGGCCTTTGAAAACAGAGGGATTTGCTTTGTTTTGAAATGTCCCATAGACACCTATGCGGCCTTTCAAAAGAGAGTGAATCCCTCCGTTTCCAAAGACCTCATAGGTACCTCTGGAGCATTTCAAAATGAAGCAAATCACTCTGATTTGAAACACTCCATAGGCACCTATGAGGCCTTTGAAAACGGAGCGAATTCCTCCATTTTCAAAGGCCTCATAGGCGTCTATGGGGCATTTCAAAATGGAGCGAATCCCTCTGTGAAGTTTCCAGTGCCAGTCAAGTCTCCATCTCTGCGAAAAGTGTCCCGGTGGTGGAGGAAAGGAATTAGTGGGGGTGGGGGTGGGGGGACAGGAGACAGGCACCACAAACATTTTTCACGAGGAAAATGAAAGTTACTGGGGTCCGTGATCTAGTGAGGGTTCAGGCACCTGGTCTTTGCAAGATAAGGTGAATGTTGTAGACCTCTGCAGTTGTTCGTAAGGGCGAATAACTGCCGCAGTGCTGCAACATTCGTAGTTTTGGGACTTGCTCATAAACACTAGAGGGCGCTTATGTCGTAACTTCGAACAGGCGCTAAATGAACGCTTGTAACCCAGGGATTAGCTGTATGTACTCTTCAATTAAAAATGAACTTTCCATTTTTAAAAAAACCTCTATATAATCTAACCTAAAAAGTTAAAGAGTCGTTTCAGAGGTAAAACCATGTTAGTTTAAGGGAGCAGATCTTAGATCTTTTCCGGGAGAAATTTTCTTTTTTCTTATGCCTCATCCTGGCCAAATTGAAAACATTTCACTGGAAATTACTGCTTTATGATGGAAATATCCATGAAAATAAAGCTGGGCAAAACAGATGTATCTGGAGAAGTATCAAACTTTATTAGAAACTTTAAAGCTAAGTTTAGTTGTTTTTCTCTTCAGGTATAAATGATGGTGCCGCGGCTGTCATTCTTATGAAAAAATCAGAAGCAGTTAAACGAAATCTCATTCCTTTGGCACGGATCGTGTCTTCGGCTCAAGTTGGTATTGAGCCTTCAGTTATGGGAACAGCACCCATCACGGCAATAAAAAAAGCTGTAAGTAGGGAACAGGATCCATTACATTGAATTAATGTGTTAATTCTGAAAAATCAAACTGTAAGCATAGTATATTTATATCGTAATATGCATAGCCCGTCCCAATCCTGTTGAATTATGGTAGCTTTGCTAATAAATGTTTCATTTACTTATTTTTCGCACTATAAGATACACCTCTCCAAAAATGGGTGGAAATGTCTGTGCGTCTTTATAGACCAAATATTGCAGCAGGGGTGGGGGTTGATGCATCACTGCTGGGGAACGCTGGAGCTTTTGCTGCTGAGTAGCTGATTGGCGGTTGGATTGGCCTCCTGGAATACCACGGATCAGCTGTTCTGGGTGGTGGGGATCTCTGCTGCCTATTGCCTCCCGTTCAGCGAATGGGCTATGGTGATCGGTGGCGAATGGGCAGCGACAATCAGCTGCTCGGCAGTAAAAGCTGCAGCGTTCCCTGGCGGCACCAGCAGCTCAGCTCAATTGATCAGTGGTGGGTGCAGCCACGTGCCGGGGCTGCGATAACGTGCTGAAGCTGACTGCTGTTTGCTGCAAGGACGCTAGCCAGATAAAATACCGGATGGATGCTGGGAGGCAGAGGCAGGTTTTTTTCTTTTCTTGTTTTCCTCCTCTAAAGGTAATGTGTGTCTTATAGTCCAGAGCGTCTTATAGTGCAAAAAATACGGTAATTCTCCATGTTAGTGAATTTTTCTAGGTATTTTTTTTCTGGATATTAAATTTGTTTGTATATGCATGTGTTTGTGTGTGCACGTGCACATATACTTTTGTGGAAAGAAAACAAGTGCATTGGTCATTAGTGAAGATTGAACTCCCAAGAGTTAATTGAATTGTGCATTTTTATCATAGCTATAACAAATAAGTCCAGCATAAGTGGAAACACTGGACTTGTATGCATTTGTGGTCCTACTCCTTATTCGAGTTTAAATTCTAGATTAGTTTATTTCAGCACCACATCTTAAATACTGATTTGAGCATCAAATTGTTTGTTAGACCACCGTATTTGTAACCAGAACCTCATTTATCTCTAAGTATTACAAATTTTGGGGGGGGGGGGGGAATAGAACAGAACTCATTGTTTTTTAATAGAATTCAGCTATGATTTTTAACCATGTTAATTGGACGAGCTTGTTGGATTGCTTGCAGGTGGAAAAAGCTGGTTGGACATTGGATCAAGTGGATCTGTATGAAATTAATGAAGCTTTTGCTGCCGTGGGTGTCGCAATAACAAAAGAACTAAAACTGAAGCCAGAAAAGGTATGTTTAAATATTGCTATAAAAGCATACTACCCCAAATACTGCAGATGTTTATTTATAACCTTGAGTGCATATACTGGTCCAAATGAATAGGGCACTGAAATATTTTTTTTTTCATGCAATCATGCAATATTTGCTAGATGGGATGGGAAAGGTAACATTCAAAATAGCTTGTCATCTGAAATACCGTATTTATCGGCGTATAACACGCACAGGCGTATAACACGCATCTTCATTTTAAGAGGGAAATTTCAGGAAAAAAAATTAAAAAAAATTCTGCCTGCCTGCCTTAGTTTCTGGTTGTTTGGGAGCAGCTTCGGCTGAGAATAATAACTATTCGCCTCTTTTACTCAGCCGAAGCTGTTCCGATTCAACCATTAACGATTCAACCATTAACGAAGGCAGGCAGGCAGGCAGAACGGAGCACTGCGGGCGGGCGGGCGGGCGGACGGGGTGGGGGAGAAACGGGCGCTTCAGGGAAGCTGCGGCGACAGGAAAGGCCCCCCCCCCGCTTCTTTGAAGCAGTTTCTTCCTGTGCTGGTGGAGGAGCGAGAGAGCGACTGAGAGAGCTGACCCAGAGAGAAGGACAGGCTTCAGTTGCTTCCTCCCTCCCCTTCTTTCATTTGTGTCCTTGATCCCCGATCCCAGCAGCATTCACCGAAGGCTTCTTAACATTATATCGGCGTATAACACGCATACATCATTTGCCCCCTATTTTCAGGGGGGAAAAAGTGCGTGTTATACGCCGATAAATACGGTAAATTACAGGACATCAATTTGGGAAAAATTGACAAACTATATATAGATGGAGGATTCCTTCTAATACAAATTGGTATTTCAGTGATTAAAAGCTTATCTTTCTCTGTGCTGTAATACAGAACCTCTGAGAATCTTAAGTTCACTTTTTAAAAATCTGCTTGTTAAATGTAAAAGACATAGTAAATATTTTATTGGCCAAGAGTGATTAGACAAGCAAATTAGTTTGGACACACAAAGAATTATTTAGATTAGATTGGACACACAAGCAATTATTTAGATTAGATTGGACACACAAAGGAATTGATTTGATTGGCCACACAAGGAATTGTTGAACATCAGATATAATTTGTTACTCAGTGATGCTATTCACATAAAAAAATTATTTTGGAAACAAAGCTTATGTTGAGCTGTATACTTCTAGTAGTACTTCCCAAGGAACATATCTAGGTATTGCAGTCCAAAAGGGACATTAAAAAATTAAAGCAAGTTCAGAGGACAAAGTTCTATGTGAAGGAATTGGATATATTTAGGCTGTAGATTGAAGGGGGTGTATACGAACCTTGCCTAAAGGGCTGTCATACAAAGGATTGGATTTATACTCCATTTCTCTAGGGGGTGGGATCTTAATCAGGTTATAATTGCTAATTAAAATTCAGGCTGGATATTGGAGTGATATTTTTTTTGACAATAAGAGCTGTTAACCAATAATTTTACATCATGAAATATTTCTTGGGGGCTCTCTGATGGTCCATTTACTTCAACTGCATTAGCTAATTCTGCAATTGAAGACCAGTATTGCACTGCAGAGATATATATTGTGTAAGTTACAATCACCATTTTATGATAGTTCCAATACTATGTAGAACAACATTCACAGCAGAACGTTCCTTCCACAAATTTGGTGGCTGGGGATAAAAATTGAATAGGCAAATAGCAGGTGTTCATTTTAAAAAATGCTAAGAAAATTTGAAGGTATGTTTGAAGTAGAAATAGGCAAGTATGTTGTGTAACTGATGCCTCAGAGACAAACTTTCCTCTGATTTCAGCATGAAAAGAGTCTTGCCCACTTCACTATAAAATCTATTGTCAGAGGTTTCCAATCCTTGCTCTAAATATTAAGTTCCAACATAGGAAAACTTCTACATCTGATTTAACATTATTTATTTATTTTGGCAGGTTAACATTGAAGGTGGGGCCGTTGCTCTTGGCCACCCTCTTGGAGCATCTGGTTGTCGAATCCTAGTTACACTTCTGCACTCACTAGAACGAACAGGTGGAAAACGAGGAGTTGCAGCTTTATGTATAGGAGGAGGAATGGGCATAGCTATGTGTGTAGAAAGATAAAGGAAACTTTTCTTTGATTTTATAACAATTTGTAACACGACTCATCTTTATTAATAAGTAATAAATAGTATTAGCCAATACCTATATATTGATACTAGGCCAGATCTAAGCATCCTGCTGTGTCAGTTTAAATACGTAGAACTTTCTTCAACAATCTACTTGGTTTCTTCTCACCTCAGATTTCTAATGAAGACAAGGGATGCACTGAATCTTTGAGAAGCAGAAGGCAGCCTCTACATACCATTTACACCCACCCTAATATTAACCCCTGCAGATAACTTCATCCTGCCTTTGAGAAAAAAAAGCCATTACAACTCTCCCCCCTGCTCCAATACTAGCATAAAGCTATGACCAGTTTGTATATACAACGGAGGGTTTTTGTATTCTGCATTATTCTCAGTAGCAAAATACTTACAAGAAATGCACCAAAAGCTAAGCGTTTGGCTGTAATTTGACTTTGTTAGTGGTAGCTACTGCTGAAATCCTCAGGTTTTCTCCAACCTCCTCCCCTTTACATTCTGCATTATAATACTGATACAAATACAAAATACAGCCATATTTCATTTATTTGCTAGTTATGCGGAAGTCTGACAACTTGCTTTCATCAACGTATTAGTTAATACAGACTTGAGAGAATTTCACAGGAATAGGCAAATAAAAATTCATTTAGTCTTCAATTGCTCCAGATTGAACTGCATCTTCATAGCATCCTCCTTTTTCACCTTTACTTTCAGGGTGCAACTTAATAAGATCATCAATTCGAAGAATAGTAATTGCTGCTTCTGTTGCAAACTTTAAGCTCTTTGTTTTGACTAGAGTAGGCTCATATACACCAGCTTGTTTGTTGTCACGTGGTTTCCCATTGATTAAATCAAGACCAATCCTTAAAAAAAAAAAAAAAGCAATACCGTTTTAAAACTGGAAAGTACATTTCAAATGTCTTTGGTATTCTCAAACTATGAACCTGCAATCAGAGATCAGCTTCAAATTTTTCAACATCAAATGCAACAAAAGTCAAATAGTACCTAGTAGTTCTCTGCAAGCACACAACTATTTTATTGCTTACATTTATATGCTGTCCATCCCATTGATCAGGCAATCCTGGGAGGCTTACAAAATGGTAAAAAAGTTAAATATAAAAACAGTTCAAATTAAGACTTAAAACCAAGGGGATGGACAGCATGAAGTTGTCTTTTATACTATAAACCACTACCAGTGGAGAGTGCCACTGGGCCCCCAAGCCATCTGGCAAAGCCATGTTTTAAGGCCATTCCAGAGAATGTTCAATAGAGTAGGAGCTATAATATATACTAAGAATAGGTAAAATTTAGCATTTAAAGATTGGGATATTCCAAATAACAATGGCAATTTCTGGTCAGGGCACACTGATTCTGCCAAGATTCACCTGTTTTCCAGAAGTTAATCCCCCAAAGTCAAAACTATTTGTGAAGTCCCAAGGGAAAGTTTGTTTCAAGCTATTTCTGGAGCATAACAAACCACTTCCAGTTTGGGGGATTAACTTCTTGGAAATTGCCAATCCATGCATGGAATGACTAATGTTACCCAGAAAGAAACTGGAACATTCTGGAATTATCAACACTACTCCACACATGAACATCTAGGTTTTGCACACCCAAAATATACCACTTCTGGTAAAGCTATAAGCCAACTATGTAAGACCAAATGCCAACAGTTAAAGTATGCTTAACCTTACTGTATGCTAGCACCTTAAAACTAGGAATCGTTTTGACTTAGGATGTTGAATGTTCATGCCCAATTCTGATTCATTCAATAAGATTAAGCAAAAATGCATAAAGGAAATCAATATTCTGATGTTACCATCAATTCTATGCACACTTACCACTTCAAATTTTTGCGATCTGGATTCACTTGAGCTTCATTGTGAAATGCTCTCAGCTTTGCAACAAGATCTATAGCATCTTGAGCAGCATTAACTGCTAATGTATTTGGAATAACTAGAAGAGATCTTGCAAATTCTGCTATAGCGAGCTGTTCCCGTGACCCCTAATTCAAACAAGAAAAATTCTATTAATATATTCATATATGATAAAATAACAGAGAGGCAATGAAGCTACACTTGCTGGATGTGCTGAAATGAAGACTGCAGAGCCACCATGGATAAAGCTTTAATATGATCTGCACCAAGCAGCAAATAGGACTTGATAGTTAAATGGCCCCCTCCAGTCCCAGTTCTATAAATCTTTTCAGATATAGAAAGCGCTGAATGTTACTATAAGCCTTGATTTCCTAAGAAAAACATACTTTAAACTTTAGTTAACTAAATACTTACCATGCTAGTTGCATAATTTTCTAGATAAATGGAAAGTGCTGCTTCAACTGCACCTCCTCCTGGTACAACAGACTTTGACTCTAGTATTCTTTTGACCACGCAAAGAGCATCATGCAAAGACCTCTCCATTTCATCACACATGAAGTCATTTGCTCCTCGTAATATAATAGCAGCTGAGGTCCGTGCCTTAGTACTGTTTCAGAAAGACAATAATTTTTTCCTTGTGAAATAATTATCAAATTATAAATCTCTAACCTTGAGGGTAGGGAAATGCTAGAATTCTGTGTGTTCAAGTCCATCAACAAAGTCAAAGACATTTACTGCCTCAACATTTATAGGGGGACTAAAAGTAATCTATCCCACGCGTATAACTGCTCATACGATTTGAAAACAGCATGGCAGCAATTAAATGGGAAATATTTTCAAAGGTTACAACAAAATGCGTCCATTACAAATTATATAAGGTAGGTATTTCCTTACTTTTTAATTATAATCAATTCATCATCACAAATTCGTTCTTGAACCACTTCTTCTGCTTGTCCCAGCATTGATGCCTCAAAAGTTTCTTCACCTTCCAGATTTGCCAGAGTAGAACAAACGATGGCTAATACAAAGTAAAAAAGATTTGACAAAATCACAATTTTATATAACTGCTAGTCTGAAGGAACAATAGCAATCTTCTACATCAACAGTCCCAGCCTTTCTGGTTCTGTGGACAGGCAGCAACAGCAAGGGGGGGGGGGATTTGTTTTGTATACGGACACCTGTTGTGCAAATGTAGCTTTAAGCGCTTGTGCGCTCATCCATTGCTTGTGCAGCCCATTTCCCAACAGGCTGCGGACCGGGGACCCTTGTTCTACATAATTAAGCTCTGTATTGACAAGACATGTAACTGTGATCATATTTAGAGATGTCTGTAATTACCTCCAGAAGCCTTAGCAATGCGTTTAAGGTCTCTTTTTAGAACTCTGCGTACTGCCATAGCACCAGCATCAACGAAATATTTCAGACACATATCATCAATGCCCCCAGTGTTCAAAATAACATTTGCTCCTGTAGCCAGGATCTTCTGAATTTTTTCTTTAGTGATGTCACCCTCTCTGCATAAGAAAGTGCACACTGATTAACTAGAACTATAAACTTAAATTCAAGAGAATTGCAAAAGTTTTTAATTAGAATAGTTGAGAAGTGTGTCAAAATAATACTTTAACCATGCCTCCCTCAAAATTCAGTGTAGATAAAATTTCTCCATTGTTACACTGGATCTTTTGGTTAATTTTTGAGATTAATTCAAGGGAGACACTTCAGGATACTATTATTAGTAAATAAAAGAGGCATTACTAACTTTTAAAAATGCATTTACCAGGCATAGGAATGGTAAATTTCTTAACCAGATCTCGCAAATTATAGATTAATGTAGCTATTGGATATACTGTAGAAAGAATGATATTTGACAATACTGTCATATTCTTAGTCAAAATTTATATTCAAGATGCCATTCTCTTAATAAATGCAGAACAAATTATAGAAATATACAGATTTATTTATGTTTCCTATTTTAAAGCTGCCATTTGCATCATTTTTGTTAAAAAATGTGTCTATAGAATACCTCTGTCTAATTTGATCCAGTTTTTCTGGGTCTGAGATTACCACCTGAACACCAAGCTTCATTTTAGTTTTCTGTAGGCTGAAATCAAGGCATGCAATTTTGGCATTAACTATTCTCTTAGGCATACCTAAAAGAAAAAGAGAAATGCTCTTAAGATTCTATATAAAATTTAATGCATCTAAAACACAGTGATACCTTCTTTTCATAGGTATCCTTCAGTTTATTTCTATTTACTTTAATAAGTATGAGTATAGTTTATAAAAACTTATTTGAATTTACTTTCCCAAATGGGAAAGAGGCCTCACTCCATTATAAACAGTGAGGCTAGACTTGAATAATCCATCTTAAAATACTTGAAAAGCTTCAAAGATTTTGAAGACATATCAATGCATACATCAAATGCATCATACTTCTGCTTAAATACTACTAAAATACAAAGTAAATATTTGGAGAGATCATCAAGCCATCCCCCTATGCAACCAACTTGCACAATCATCAATTTACCAGAAAATTTTCTTTCCAGAGAGTTGTATAAAAACCATTCTTGTGGAAACAAAAAGTTCCCCCATGTCTTCTGTTCACCATTTATAGATTTATAACCAAGAATTTTTGTGTTCCATTCTGAATCCTACCACCTTTCTCACTCTTTGAAATAGCACTTTCTATCCTGGTCAAATCATTTCAGGTAATTTGGGGGGGGGGGAGTTAAGTTTAAACTTATACCTAACTAAAGCCTTACCCTGATAGGGAAAATACAAACCTAATTTAGGAAAGCCATCTCCATTCAAGCAAAGGGGAGGACCATCTATCTGAAAATACTTACAAATCAACTCTATTGCAAATGTGTAAAATAATTTCAACCTCTATGTTGTTATACTATTTCTTCTAGTCAACTTATCAGTCAAAAATATAATTTCTAAAAATGTGTTTATATGCAGATATAAAACTGCATTAACTTTTAAAATTATGTCCATTTACTGTTTTACTTGGTGGGGGGGGGTGTTAATCTTACCTTGGGAGCCTACAACACAGTTTAATGCATAGCCATTTACAAGAATACTCTCTTTCTGACTGCGACCATGTGCCTTCAAAACATTGATAGAGCTGATAGGATAATGTGGTTGTCCCCTTTGATCTGTGTATTTTACTGCAAGTACAGCATCTACTACCATGTTGGCAAAGAAGTCACTGTCACTACAAGAATACTGTTAAGGTTAACATAATCTAATACATGGAATATAAATCCTATATGCCTCACAACAATAAGAATTACAAATGCTAATAATGCCATTTTTCTTCATAAATTAGATACTTCAGTCAGTGTCTAATTTCTACACAATACTCGTTCCTAATTTTTCTCTGTGAAAGGATACAATCCTATGATTTTGGATGACATTGATGTTTTTGCTGCATTAATAAGACAGTCTTTGCCCAACTCATCTGAGTTAATAACCAAATTTTCATTGATGTAGCGAACTGCCTCCCTGTTGAGGAAAAGAAACTCAGTATTTTCACAGAATCATCAGAATTTAATTTGAATGCTTCCAACTTAGAAATGTTAATTAAATACATATAATAGGAGTGTGAAAAACTTACTACTTCAGGGAATGTCATAAGTTCTATTTTCTTCCAGACTATATTGTTCTGGCCATTCTGGTGAGTGAACCAACTATTTACTTCTGAAATTTTCCAGAAGAAAAGAGAACTAGAATGTTCTGTCCCCCAAACTGTAAATTGTGTGCAGATTAGAAAAATAAAATATCTTAAATTTACATTTTCAGTGGCCCTGCATTTCCATGCTTTCTAATATTTTAAAACCTATCACTAAACATTTAAAAATACACACCTAATTTTTTAAACAAAGCATATCCTATCTGTAGCGCACTTAATCATTAAACATAAAAGCTTCAAACAATTTAAAGATTTCATGGGCAATATAGATCAATTCTGTATTCTAGCAAAAGCAGTTATACTGTCAAGATTGAGATATGCTGCCATCATGACAGATACATTAGCAGAACACCTAGATCAATTTTATTAAATTTATATACTTTCCATCTCATTAACAAATGACTCTGGGCAGTTTATAAACATCATAAAACAGAGGTATAAAATATTAAAACATTAACTATGAAATGAACCAAAATTAAGAAAGTTAAAAACCAGGACCAAAATACTGTGGAGTAGTTATAGACTAAAGGATAAAATGGGGACGATACAAAAATTGTTCCCTGTCAATGAAATTCAGACCACTGTCACCTAACTTGCCCCCAAACCCTTATGCTTTACTGAACCACAAGAGGGATATATGTAGCACAAAGAATTCTAACCAATCTCAAATTGTACTGTAACCCTCAAACATAATGACAGTAACAACAATCCTTTCTCTCCATTGGTGAAGGGGAAAATCTGTACTGGCAAAGCACTGTGGATTTCATCTTTTACTTGCTCACTCATAAACACCTGCTTCTATCTACATCCAAAGCTAGCTTTCCAGTTGCTTGTTATTGGGGCAGATAACAGCACTCCACCATCATAGAACTCTTAGTGAAAGGGCTCTATTTGTCAATTACCTCATGACTGATAGGAGGCCATCAATATTTGAAAAATGCTATATTGATTTAAAAATGTATTGGCTGAAACTTTGAAACTTAATTGTACAATTTCTCACTTGAAGTAAATCAATAGGTCTTACTTGCAAGCAAGACGATATCCACTAATGACAGAAGTCGGATGAATTTTCTGTTTCACCAATTCATCTGCATTTTTCAAAAGTTCTGCAGCAACAATTACCTATGAAAGACAACATTTAATTTAAAACTATTTCTGTGAAAAAGTTATGTCCTTGATACAAACAGTAAAAAACAAAACAAAAATAAAAAACCCACATAAATTTCACTCCAGCAAAGACATTCTTGAAAAACTTACAAGTTACATTTGCTTCAGGAGGCAGAGCTATTCAATTTACTCTAACACATGATTCAAGTTACAGGTAAATAGAACTTTTTGTTTTGAATACTGTTGAGACTGAAGTTCTGTAGAACATCTCATTTTCTTGGAAATTTTCAACATTGAAAGAACTATATTATATTCCCCATGATCATGGAATATAATCAAAAATTAATCAGAAGCCAGGGAGATAGGATGAACCAGCCAAGACAAAAAATAATCTGAAAATAATTTTGCCACATTGAAGGCAAGGAAGTGCACTGGCCTTTAGTTGACATTTTAGATGCTGTTGACTAAAAGACTGAGCCAGAATAGCCAAGAATATTAGCATGTACTTGTAAAAATATCCCAAGGGGACCTCTCTCGGGAAGAACTACTCTAGTTACCTTAGGAGACAACATTTTCTGGATTTAAATTCTGGCATCACAAACTATTTATTCCATCATTAGTGTTTAAAACAATTGATTATGTGTCATCCGTTTTTAATTAAATTGTGATGTTGATCACCTCACAATTAAACAAATACATGCCTTCTTTTTCTGAAAATAGCCCTTGGTTAGTTATAGTAATTGGGACCAGGAACATTGTCACTAAGTGATGTGGTCATAAAAACACATTCACATGATCATGCCAACTTACAAAGCCATTTCCAGCTGCAGTTGCTAGGTGAATCCCATGCAGTTGCAGCATCATAGTCCCATGATCACCATTTGCAATCTCCTGCTGACTTCTCCATTGACTGTGCTTGGTGGAAGCCAGCAGTGAAGATCATAAATAGTAATCATTTAACTCCAGGACCCTGTGACCATTGTAATTTTGAGTCGGTTGCCAAGTACCCAAATCATGATCACATGATTGCAGGGGACACTATGACCATCATGACTTGAAAAACTGGCCATAACTCTCCTTGTTCAGCATCATCGTATCTTCAACAGTCGCTGAACAAATACTTGAGGACTACCTGCTTAGAGTTAAAATTATTCTATAATATGTTCTGCCACTTCATATAGGAAAAAGATATTGTTAAGTCTTCTCCTTCAGACTTTGGCAGTTATTCCTTTATCCCATAAGCATAGCCATTTATTTTGTAGAAGAAATAAATGGTAGTTAAATGGGAAAGTTTTATTTCATTTTTAGAGGCAAACTTAAGTAGCCCTGAAAATGGATTCAGAATTTAGCTTCTCTGAAGATACATCATACCAGTTCTTCGTATCCAAGTGAAACTGTATTTTAACTGAAGAAAGTGCTAGAGCTAATTATGCTGTTTCAGTACAATACTTTAGTGTTTGCCATTGTTGAAAGGGGCACAAGTTAATTTCACATACTTGCATTATAACATGTAAGTTTTAAATACTATTAATGCTACTTGAATGTTGACACGGTCATGAGAGCATATAATATACCAATACATACCACAGAGGTAGTCCCATCTCCAACTTCTTTGTCTTGCAATTCTGCTAGTTCACACAGTACTTTTGCAGCAGGATGTTCTACCTCCAACAACTTCAGGATAGTTGCACCATCGTTAGTAATGGTCACATCCTAATATTCCAAATACACAATAGTCATTCATGTAGCTTAATATCAATTGGGATCATGTAGCTTAATATCAATTGGAATATAGGTAATTGCCCTTTAATTAGTGATGTATTTAACTATTTATCCATCATATAATTGTCTTAACAATCCAACTGTAGCTTAATCTATGCTCTAAAACCCATTTTTTGTCAATGGGCCTGGTGACTATAAATGGAGACAAAGCCAATTCAAGTGGCCAATTCAATTGTTGATGCCATGTGGGGTGGGAGTGGAGGGGATTATATGGTGGTTTTTTAAAAATTTGTAACCCACCCAGAGCCACCTATGTGAGTCAGGTGGCTATATAAATGTATTAAAATAAATGTATAATATCCTACTGTCCTTATTAAGCTCTAGAATTAGTATTTAGTTTCACCCCACCCCTTTTTTAAATAAGTAACATACCTAATCCTCCCTCCTCTTCCTATTTTGCATGCAACCAGTACCCCCTGAAATGGGTTAGGCTGACTGTGACTGGCTCAAAGTGATAGAAATTATTTTCCTGTTATGGAATCATCAGTTTGAAAGTACCTCTATCAAACTGAAGCCAAAGAAGTACCCCTCTTTCCCTGTAGCAAAGGAAAAGAGAGAGAGAGAGCATGCATGCCATCTTTGGATCATACCTGGAATACTACTGGCCAAAAGTTTATTTTTATTTTATTCTATTTGTTTCTATTTTAGAAATACAGTACAAGGCTAAAAATAAATGTTGACTTAACGAGGCAGTCCAATAACTGCTACCAAGGCTTTTTTTTATACTAGTTTGGCTATTTGTGAGATTTTGGAGTATCTTAGGCTACTTTTTTGACACCTGTGTGAAGACTACATACAGATGTAGGGGTAAGGGATTTTTTTCTTCTTTCCCAGATCAGGGAGACATAAATGGGAATGCTGGGGTGGAGGAAAACCCTGCCTATCCATCCTCCGCCATGTTACTTGGCACCTTGAATAGAATGACTCAGCTTTCTATTTTTAAAATTAAAACAAATTATTTTCTATTGGTAGTTTCAAAAAAAAAAAAAAGAAGATCTACTTACACCAATGTCATCCACCAGCATTTTATCCAAACCAACTGGACCCAGTGAACTCTTTACAATATTGGCAATTGAAGCAGCAGCTGTAACTGTTTCAACAAAACAGATTTTTTTTTCTTCAAAAGCAGAATTGTTTCCTAAAATTTTAACTGATGGAATTCAAGTGCTAAATATATGCTTTTAAATATTTTAAAAATAGAAAATAGATTTGGGCAATAAAACTGGCAATTACTACTTTGTTTAGGTTTTAACCACTGTCTCGTTTACACACTAATATATTTGTAGTTGCATTTGAAAACAGACTGTATGCTGTAACTTATACAAAGCAGTTGTTTTATACACAGGCCATAGTTTGTGATCCAACCATTCAGTTTATCATAAGCAAAATTTAGGCCATTATGAAAATTTTTATGGAAAATTAACTTCAGGTTCTTTGCATCATGTACCAAAAAAGGAACATGATTCAATCTTAGAAATATCGTACTTGTCTTTGTAATGCTTTGTTCTGCCATTTCATATAGAAAGAAGCTGGTATTCATTCTTCTCCATCAGACTATGACAGATATTTATTTATCCCATAAGGATTATCTCTTATTTTGTAGTGCAAATAAGAGGCAGTACAATGGGACAGTCTAACACCTAGCAATTTATTCTGGAACTATTTTAACAAGAGAAGTTATGACAATCCAGTAGATTGAAATATAAGAGCATCCTTTTTTTAAAAAAAAAACAGCCTCTCATACATACTTGGATAATCAAAATCTATTTTTTAAATTGTTTAACACTAAAACAAGATGCATAAATGCATATCACCACAGGATCCAGAATAAAAGAGACAGCATTTACAGAAGTTTTCTTCTCAAACTTGTTACTCATAAGTAAAGCAGTCTCATCGTACAGCTGGTTTCTTGGTTACCACATGGAAACATGTTGTTTGCTTAACACTACAAAAGTGGTTTGTCACTGTCTTAAACTTTAGAACTTTAATTGCAATTGAATCCTGAGATTTAATAATCAACTGAACCCAGTCCAGTTATTTTCTACAATAGCCTGGTTCTGCATATTATTTCTTCCAGGAACAGAAAGAAAGAGACAGATATTTAAATAGAAACTGTGGCAAACCCCTTTACAGATATGTAGGTCTCTGAAATGTATTTTAGAAATCGAGGCACGTAAACACCTCTAACTTCGGTAGAAGAACTAACATTCTTCATGACATATTTTGATAGGACATAAAGTAGTATCTGACTCTGGAAAAAAAAATGGTGTAAAAGTTAAGGACCAAAACACTTCAGCTATAAAGCTTACTTTTAAACAGCTGAATATATTCGCTATGGTTTCTACAGCAATTTTAAAATGCTCAAAGGCTACTGATAACTTATCTTCTCCCCCAAAGAGATTCTGCATCCTGGCGTGCTTAACAACACTGCTTCTCAACCACCAGTGTACTACAGGTAGTTCTCCCCTTACGACCACAATTGAACCCAAAATTTATGTTGCTAAGTGAGAAAGTTGTTAAGCAAATTTTGCCCCATTTCATGACTTTTGCTGCCACACTTGTTAAAGTGAATCACTGCAGTTGTTAAATTAGTAACACGGTTAAGTGAATCTTCCCCACATTGACTTTAGCTTGTCAGAAGGTCCCAAATGGGAATCACATAATCCCATGACACTACAACAGTCACAAACGTGAGTCACTTTGCCAAGCATCCAAATGCAAATCTCGCAACGGTCACAAGTGTGAAAAATGGTCACAAGTCACTTTTTTTTCAGTGCTGTTGTAACTTCCGACGGTCACTAAGCGAACTGCTGAAAGTCGAGGATACCTGTAGAGGGAAGCGATCCAGGCTCTTAAGCCTGGACCCAGTCACTAAACCCACCCATTCATACGGGGCGTGACTCAAGTTCTCCCACGTGGGAATCAGGGATCACTTGTCAGTTGCGCAGAATCGGTCCGCGGTTATCTCAGGTCTAAATGGAGCCCAGCCAGAACCGAACAGGGGAAAAAAAATAAAGGACTGGATTGTTCCTAATGCGGCCCCTTCTTCCTCATCCTCTCCTGTAACACCTTCTTCCCTTTCGGGTTAATCAAGCACACGTGCGAGCCGGCCGGCCGGCCTACCTGCCGGCCCGCCAGCAACCACTGCTTCCGCCGGGCCGACTTCGCACCCAGACCCGGCCCCACCCTACTCGGGACCACGAGTTGAGGCAGCAACGGCCGGTCTCGTTTGGATGCCCGCGCCCACCTTTCCACCCGCCGCAAACGAACGGCGGAGGAACCGTTAACTCTCCGGCGACTCGAGCTGCGGCGGCTTAAGGGGGCCCCGAGGGAAGCTTTCGAGAGTTTACCGTTTTGTGTCCGGATGTTGTCGCCGGTGCTCCGCTCCCCAAAAACCGCCAAAGGCCCCTCCAGCGCCATTTTCCCGGACAAAGAGAACGAGGCCGCAACGTGCACGAGCCTGCAAGGGATTGCGGACGGCGAGGCGAGGTCTTTTGGGAAGCTCCGCCCCCTCGCGACCTATAAGCTTATCGGTGGATTAGACACGACTCAGTCGCCCGGGAGCGTCGTAAAACTAGCGTGATTTGAAGAGAAAGGAAACGAACTTCCCCTGCTCGGCCCGTCGGGTCTTGGAGGACGATTGGTGATCGGGCAACAAACGACCCGCCCTTTTTTTCGAGGAACAACCAATGAGAACAGACGGGTGGGGTCAATGCGTTCTAGAAGATTCTAGTGTGGGTGACAGTAGTCGCTTCTCCTTCAAAGGGCGTATTAAGCGCTGCTGCCAACTGGCGGGCTCGCCGGTTTAAAATAAATAAAAAGAATGGTCTATAAAAAGAAACAGTCAATGTTGTCTTTGTTTCTTATAACAGCTGATGAAAGCTGACCGAAGGGGTCCATTTCGCAAAGGCTTTTTAAAACTCTGAAATCAGGGAAGCTCGGTACATAACGCGTTAAAAAAAATGCGCAATCACATGGTCTGTCTCCAAGGTTGCACGGGATACGAATGAAGTGTTTCCTTTGGATCTCAAACCCACAGAGATAGGAAAAGGAAAAAAAAGGAAAAGCGGCGTTTCAACAGTTACATACTTAGAGGCAACTGGACTTTTTGGTTTTTCTTTGAAGACGTTTCGCTTGTCACCCGAGAAGCTTCTTCAGCTCTGACTGAAACGTCTTCAAAGTTCAGTTGCCTCTTGAAAAAGCACCCAAGGGCAATTTCAACCGACACATAGAATTTTTGCTCGATTAAGATAACACTGGATGTTTTTCCAATATTGGGCGAAAAAAGCAATGCTATGTCTCAGCAGAATCACTCCCTCAATATTGCAAATTAAAGGGGTTAAAATCGAAAGATTTAAACGAGGGGCCTTTCAAACTTGGCAGCTGTAAAGACTTGTGGACTTCAACTCCCAGAACTACTCCTCCAGTCATGTTAGCTCAGGAACTCTGGGAGTTGAAGTCCACAAGTCTTAAAGCTGCCAAGTTTGAAGACCCTTGATTTAAACGTTTTATAAGTTATGTACTTCCATCTTCATTATGATAACTGGGAACCAGTTCGGTGGTGTAGTTAAGGCATCAGGCTTAAAAAGCATGAGTTGTGGTCCTGCCTTCGGCACAAAGCCAGCTGAGTGACTTTGGGCTGATAAAACGTCACATTCTGTAGGAGGTTAGTGGACATCAATAGTTGTTTATTGCATTGGATTATCTCCAAAGCACCAGGACAAGGAGTAACGGATTTACTGACACTAACAAATTCATCCATGTTTTGATGTAAGGTCTCCGCTTGTTTGCACTTCACTTAATTTTACTTCTTTTAGAAGCCTCTATATACCTATAAAATTTGCTGTTGAACACCATCCATAAATCCAGCGATGTTCCTCAGAATACGTTGAGGTCTTTTGATTTCTTTAAAACCCACCATTCGCAAAAAAACAAAGCATTAATTAGAAAAGAATATTTTTAAAGATAACTCCGTGGATTCCTAAGGCGTGGGTTCTTGGGCACAGATCAGAGGAAATAGCATAGGAAAACATTGCTGTATAAGAGAGATGATGGAAAAGTTCCTGATTTAAAAATCAGAAACTTTTCCATTCCTCTTTGCTATAGCAACGTTACTATAGCAACGTTTTTCAAACATGCCGGTTGGGCAATGCTAAGAATTAAAGTCCTCGTATCTTAAAAGTTGCCAAGTTTGAAAAACGCTACTCTACAGTTACAAATCTATAGCCACGTTCATTTGCATTGTTATTGGCTTATAGAGCTATTCTAGAGGAAATGAAACGGATTAATATGTGGCTGACCAATCAGGCTTTCGATTTCCTTTTTTCTTTTTTTAATGAAAACCGAAAGAGACCATGGGAAAAAACATGCAAGGTTCAACAGAGGAAAAGGTGGCGCCCCCCAGCTTCTTGTAGGTCCGGCTAGGTCCCTTCCTGTTTAGTTTTCCCAGGCGCGATGGCGTTCAGGAGGTTGGCTCCGCCGCTGAGCAGGGCGGCCAGGACATTCGAGGAATCCGAGCACGGTAGGCGACTCTTTGAGTTTCAGATTTTTGGTTGGAGAAGCACGGGTCTTTAATATGACATTCAGAAACGTAGGGAAGGAGACTGAAGGGTTAAGTCAGCGAGAGGTTTTCTCTCTCCTAACTTTTTTTGCAGGGGTCTTTTTCGGTACAGTAATATTATTTATTTTTTGAGGTTGAATCCGAACAGCGGATTCTAAAGCTACCCTCTTGGAAGTAGGACCCTTTCAAAGTCTACACAAGAATGCAGCTCCTGCGATTACCAAAAGATTTTGACAGGCAGCCATCCTTAGCTGCTTACTTTCTGGATGGTTTTAACTTGAATTGCAAGCAAAATGCTGAATAAAATTATGATAGTTGTACTTTGGGGAGCATTAACTTAAGGGAGAAGGGTTTGTTTTGCTGTAGGTGGTGGGGGGCCAATCTAGAAATAAACATTTTGCAGTTAAATAAACATTTAAGGGACATCTTTGCAGCCTTTCTAAATCACAAATTAGAAACGATGTGCCAAGTATTCTTTAATGAATGGGAATACAAAATGTATTGAGAGTTTAATGAGATTCAGCTTGCTTAAATCAACAATATTAAGCATTTTTATCTGTTTTCCTTATCCCCACTTCACCATCAGTGTATGACTTTAGTACATTTATATATTATACTGAATAATCTTTTTGTATTCTTGGTTGTTTTCTAAGTTTTTTAAGCATACATTTATTTTTCTTTATTTTCTTGCAGGAGTTAAATTTAATTCTTCTGTTCCCAATCCCATACCTCTTCCTGATGAAGTGGATACAAGAGAAAATGAGGTTGTTGCTCCTGAATTCACAAATAGGAACCCACATAATTTGGAAAGATTGGCTATAGCAAGAAAGGATCTAGGTTGGAAAACCTCATGGCCAAAACGGGACTATTGGTACAGGTAAATTAGAACAATGCAAAAACAACCTATGTTCAATAATATAGAATTTCACTTAATTTTGAAGAATTCTTTTTATCAAATATTCTATTCTGAAGAGGGCAAATACGTTGTCGGTGATACTCATGTTGTCGGGCTCTCAATCTTTTCTGTCTTAATGCTCATATGAATCTGTAGCAGTTCGTTTGCTTTTTGATTGATTCCAAATTCCCAATATTGATATTTGAGCTTTTTTTGACCACTAGTTGTAGATCCCTTTTCATTATTATTATTTAAATTTATATTGGGCCCTATGCCCAGTGATCCTGGGTGGTTTATAAGTTATTTAAAACATGATGAGGATGACAAAAACAAGAAACAAAGAAAAGAGTAGAAATGGCAGAATAACAAACAAGCTGGAAACAAAAGCAAAAGCAAACAACCTAGAATAAAAGGAGATTACCAAAGACTTGGATAAAGAGCCTGGTCCCTTGGAAACACCAGCAGAATGGGGAACATTCTAATCTCAGAGGTAATCTCACAGTAAGGGTGTTGTGACAAAGAAGGCACACTTCCAGAGTATTAATGGATGGCATTGTTTAATTGAAGGACTTGGAGCATGCCAACCCTGACAGATTGAATCAGTTGGCTAGATATTATGGGAGACAGATGAACCCTCAAGTAACCAGGCCCTATGATATGTAGGACTTTATAGGTAACAATTAGCACTTGAATCACACCTGGAAGCAAACTGGCCACCAATGCAGCTTGTGAAGCAGAGGCATTATATGGGCATACTGAGATATGGTCATCATTGTTTGTGTCACTGCATTCCATTAATTGAAGCTTCTGGATGGTCTTCAAGGACAACTCCATGTAGAGTGTATTGCAGTAGTCAAGCCATGAAATAACCAGGGTGTGATTGATTGTCTAAAGAGCTATTGTATTTTATTCCTCTATCAGTTTGCATTATAAAGTTCCCTACTCTTTTCTGCCTGTTGACAGCAATGCCTTCTGTGAATATAGCAAGTTATAGAGCAACTCACATAGGAAGCCAATATATTGTATTTTTAATTCACTGGAAATTTCTGCACTTGCTTTACATACAGTGGTTCTGAACCTGTGATCCGTGGACCCATGGGATGGGTGCAATCTCATCACAAGGGTCTGCAAAGGCTTGAATAAATATTATGATTTAAATCTTAAGTCTTGAGGGTCTATGGCAACAAAAGGTATTTAAAAGGGTCCGTAGTAACTTTCAAGAAAAAGTTGAGAACCACTGTTACAGTGCAAAACATATATTTTCACAGCCTGTGGCACCTGCCAAATCATGGAGTCTGTTGCATTACAGGAGTCCTCGACTTACAACCACAATTGAGCCCAAAATTTATGTTGCTAAGTGAGAAATTTGTTAAGTGAGTTTTGCCCTTTTTATGAACTTTCTTGCCACATTTGTTAAGTTAATCATTGCAGCTGTTAGTAACATGATTGTTAAGTGAATCTGGCTTCCCCATTCCGCTTCCCAAAGGTCACAAAAGGTGATTGCATAACTCTAGGACACTGCATCAAAAATATGAACCAGTTGCCAAGCATTCAAATTTAGATCACATGGCCACAAGGATGCTGCAATGATCGTAAGTATGAAAAATGGTCATAAATCACTTTTTTCAGTGCCATTGTAACTGAACAGTCACTAAACAAACTGTTGTAAGTCGAGGACTGTATTCCTGTTTATAGTGTACATTTGAAACATACTTCAAGACTGTACAATTTACCTTGTTTAAAATAAATTTGTTGATACTTGAAATTTCTGTCAGGACACAGAACATATAGCCTGTAATAGTCCACATGTTATTTCAGCCATAATGTTTTGAAATTATATTTATTTTCTTGAATCTTTTAAATTCTGTTTCTGATTCTTCCCTCTTTATAGATGCACTAATGAGATACCTATGATGGAAAATATAGTTAAGGGAAACAATTATTGCGCTAAAAATTGAGTTTAAAAGTAAAGGTTTGTTTTTTGGGGATCTACAAGAGCCAAAGAGACTTGGAGTTCACTTGAAGTTTCCGCAGGAAATCCTAACTTAGCGGCAGTTCCCATTTATTTCAGAGGAATGATTCTGTTTTCATCAGTGCAGCATATATGCATGCAAGTATGCATGTTAATTCATTTGTAATGGCTTTTATGCCAAAGTTGCCAGAAGTGTTAAGTAGCTTACATCCACCAACACATAGAATTAAAATCAATAAAACAAAATGAGCAAGTATTACAGAATTTAATATTTGATATGCCATCTGCAAGGGATAGATTAGTCTTCAAATCCCTCAAATGTTTTGTTGAAAAGCCATATATGTTTGACCTTATGAAAGCCCAACAAGAGGGTTGTGGTCCAATTATCCAGAGACAGGCTGTTCCACATAACGGAGGCATCATTTTCTGTTTATAATTAAATTAATGTTTGAAAAGGGAAAGAGAAGTTTACAAATAATCCGAGATATGTAAAATTTCAAATATGAGACATAAGATTTACAAGTACAGAACTATATGAATTTTTGTTATTGTGGGTGAATTTCTCTGATAGTAAAACAGTAACATTTTGTTTTTCATATTTAACCATTCAGGTTACGATTGGAAAAAACCCAAAAACATGTGAAAGGCTACATTGAACATTACAGTGGTCATATTGTAGTCTCTGCTTCCACTCGCGAGTGGGCTATTAAGAAGCATCTTTATAAAACAACCGGTGTGGCAGCATGTGAGAATGTGGGGCGTGTATTAGCACAACGTTGTCTTGAAGCTGGAATCAACTTTGTGGATGACAAGGTTATAATTCCATGGGAAAAACATGGCGAAGGGGCAAGTTGACTTTGTTTTTCTTACTTTGGTTCCTACTTATCCTACATTTTATGTTCTTGACCATAATATTGCACAGCTTACTCATAGCATGGTTTATGGCCAAAGTATTAAAAATGTAAATATCAATGACTGCTTAATGTCAGAGTTGGCATACCCTCTTAACATGAGAATTGCATTATTTGGGAGGAGAAAGGAATTAAGAGAACTGTAATTCACTGTGTATGCTGAAAGTACCAATGGAACTGACAAAATTAACAGTTGTGTCTTTCTTTTTAAATGAAAATAGCTGAAACGTTTCAAGCAGGCTATGACTGAAGGTGGTGTTGAACTGAAAGAACTTGAAAGAATTTATGATAAGTATGGTAATAAGAAGCTTCCCAGAGAAGTACAGCCTCAGAAGCCTGCAGTTCCATCCTTGGAGGACAGTCAATCACATACCGCTCTTAATACATAATACCATTGAACCTTTTTATATTAAATACAAATCCAATAAATATACAACTGCTGGTGACAGTTTTTTGTTTGCTTTCTCATTAACTATTTTCATAAAATATAACAGTATAAAATAATAACCTGCTACAGGTGGTTCCCTAGCCAATGTGTCTATATCTTTTTAAGAAATAAATAGCCAATATCATTATTTCTCTTTAAAAATAAATGGTAGGTCTGGTGTGCACTCACTCACCTGCAGTAACGAAAGGCTCTTTTATTCCCTTTTGCTTTTTAAAATAAACCACTTGACTGTGATGGGTGATTTCTTTTAATGGTAGAAAATTGTCTTGTTGCAAATATGTATATATCAGATTTCTTTTGACAGTGTTTAAAACTTTCGTTGGTCCACAAAAGTGATTTAATATATTATGATCCACTTACTGGAAAACGTTGGAAGATGGTGTTCCAAAATTCATTCTGGACCTTAAGCCAGGTGGGATTGATTAAATTCTAGCAGAGTCTGGCACATTTTCTGCTGAGTCTGGAAGTAATAGGTTTAGTCTCTGTAACAGAAACTTGATTAGGACTATCAACTAACCTGCTCTGCAGTATCTTCATTTGTCTCTTTTCTAGCAAAGTTTCCCTCATAAAACAAAGGATAAGAGATACTCGGCATAAAGAAAAGAGATTTTATTTGGATTATACCACCATATCAAGTTACTTTTATCTTGCTCTTTGGGGGAGGGGGAATCTCACGGCTATTTGTCTAGATTGCCCATCATGACCTCACCCCTTTCCTAAGAGGTCTGTAGGGGGCGTGCATAAGCGCACCAACGTGCCTACCGTCCCTGTCCTATTGTTTCTCTTATTCTTCTTTTATTTTTCTTATATGTACCCATTTCATGTATTCACAACTATGTATACACTTATACTTATTATCTTGTAAACAATTGGCAAATCAAATAAATAAATAAAATAAAATAAAAAAATAAAAAAATTATTACCATGGCTTTCTGGTCTACTCAGAAGATACCATTCAAGAGGCCTTCTTCATTGCTGCAACTAGAGAAGTTGGTTAAAGAAAACAAAATACATATGATTTTACCTCATTCTCAAAGACTGTGTGGACACAATATATCAGCAAGATACTACATTAAGTCAAGGCAGTGCAATTTTTATTTTAGAAAGGTAATTAAGCAGCCCTTAATTGATCTTACAGTGCCATTTAAACATCTATTATGAGCACAAAAGGAGAAAAAACCCTGCAAGAATACAGGTAATCGTAGATTTACAACCACAATTGAGCCTGAAATGTATGTTGCTAAGTAAGAAATTTGTTAAGTAAGTTTTGCCCCATTTTATGACTTTTCTTGCCAGGTTAAGTGAATTGGCTGTTAAATTAGTAACAAGGTTGTTAAATGAATCTGGCTTACCCCTTGACTTTGTCAGAAGGTCGCAAAGGTGGATCACATGACCCTGGGACACTGCAATGGTCAGTTACCAAGCACCTGAATTTTGATCACATGATCATGGGGATGCTGCAAAGGTGGTAACTCTGAAAAACTGTCATAAGTCACTTTTTTCAGCACCAGTGTAACTTCGGTCAATATATGAACTATTGTAAATCGAGGCCTACCTGTATGCAAGTATATGATTTATCATATAGCTTTATGTACACCAAGAGCTTATGCACTGAACACAAATTCCTTGTGTGTCCAATCACACTTGGCCAATAAAGTATTCTATTCCTATTCCCATTTCATTCTAGGTCCAGAGTCGCTGAGTGTCATGTGGCATAGAAATTCACTCAATATTAAGCTTAGCCTTATTTCATACTTAAATATTATCGAACTCAGAATACCTACAAGGCAAAAACACGTATATAACCCGGTTAATTTTCTAAATAGCCGATCTGAATTTTAGCCAATAAACGTTTGTTCAAGTGGTTCCTCGGCCCCTTATATCAGCGACGGAATCTAGGCAATCTCCCAAGCGTTGCTTTCCTAGATGGACAACGAAAAAGCACCAATGACAGGATTCAGACAATCATTTCCAGCGATCGGGGAAGGCGGAAAAGTCTTTAAGTGCGGAGGGGGGACGGACGGAGTAGCAAATAAGGCTGGTTCCGCCCCCTTCAGCCTCCAAAGAGGGGCGGAAAGTTGATTGAGCCGCAAAGGCAGGAATTGGCCATGCGGCGGAGAGAAAGCAGCGTGGGCGGGATGGATGTGGGGGCAGCGCAGTTTCAAGAAATGTTGCCTCGGTTAGAGGAGCTTGTCCTGGGCTGCGACTTTGTTGGTGAGGCAGGGATGTGATATGGAGGGTGAAACCTTTCCCATCTTTAATAGGTTAACTACGAAATTGGGGAGCCCTGTTGTTCACACACGTCCACGCTTATTTATCCGTGTTAACTTTGGTCTCAGCTGCTGTACGGATGACGCGCTCCTCCTTAAACTTTGAGAGGTGTTTTTAAACGGAGAAAGCTGTTATTGATCCCAAGGAAGTTGCTGGATACACTTCAGGGGCTTACCAGGATCTGGCTACTGTAGATGGGGGACTGGATCACTGACTGGATTCTCACTTGGCCCTTTGGATGACTTGCCGGCCGGGTTATGGAGCCAAAAGACGACATGTGAGATAGAAAATAAAACACACATCCAGCCAATGTAATTTGTACACCATGATTATGTAAAATCAACTGGCTTGTTAAATAGCTGATGGAGCAAATCATGGTTTAGTATATGTGATCACAGTCATGATCTCAACCTACTTTACAGGGTTGTTGTAAGAAGGATATAAGAAGAGGATGTAAGCAAGGTTGATGAATATTATGAAAATTGGTATCAGTATGCTGCTGTATGGATTATGCCTTCTGATTTTGGAAAGGTCATAAATTTGTTATTGTAGAGAAATCATTGCAGAGCTCTTTTATTTTCATCCTAACCAATATGGGATTTTGAGAGTTGTAGCAAGATCAGTACAGCATTTCCTTAACAGACTTTTAAGTATTTAATTCCAAGAAAGCTCCCAGGATTATGTTGTGTCCAGTGATACTCTGCAAGAGGAGCAAAAATATTGCCTTGTTTTGTGGTTTAGAAATAAGGTATTTCCTAGGGCAAATGTTCTAAATTTGCAAAGTTTGCACTTAACTATTCCCCAGTAAAATAAATCCTTTAGTCATATTTTTTCCATAGTGTGATTATTTGAAGAGCTCTGATCTGGCATCCTTCCTTCTCTATGGCATTCCATATCTGAATCTTATAGTTTATAGTAGAAGGGTTGCTAATGTTTTAAATTGACTTATAAAGACAAGAATTTTACTCCAACTAATAAAAAATAAAAAGCACATTGAAGGGTGTATTAAATGCATTACCATAGAATACTGAGAAAATACTGCAAATGATGGACAAAAATCTGGTGTGGTGCATTAAAATATTTATAATTGAAATCACTTTACTGATCATGGAGAAACCCCTCAATCCCTGTTTTAAAGTTTAGGAGCATGTTACTACTATACCACACACACACACACAATTTATTAATATATTCAGTATGCATAAAAACATACATAGGTAAGATTGAGATATATGAATTAAATAAAACTTTGTATTCATCATTTAATAATAGTGGAAGGCACATGTTCTTTCTATTGCAGGCCTTGATATGGAATTCACAGGTTTGCATTCTGACAATCAGCCTAGGTAAGCTTGTTGAAATAAATATATTTTCTAGTAATGTTCCCATAGAAGTTAGAAAGATGATGAACAACATGGAAATCTTTCATATCTTTCTTTTCCCCAGTCTCTTTGATTTACCTGCTGAGTGGTATCGGAAAGGCAGACAGAGTGTTCAGCGATTTACAGTGAATCAACTTGGTGAGCTCTTCTGGTTTCTAAAAGATAGGTTTTAAGATTGCTTAAAATGTGGCAATCAAAAGTTAGAAATCGTATCTGAACTAAAATCCCTTTCAAGATCATCTTAATTTCTCAAAAAAAAATTAATCTTAAAAGAATACATTTATATACCTTTCCTCTTTCCCAAATGTATTTTGAGATATATCTATTAAAGGAACTTTTGGGGGGGGGGGGGATTAAGCTACATACAGTATAAGAGTGCAGTGAATGACCAACCCCTATGAAGGCTCATGGCAGACAAACTACCCCACATTCACCCAAGATGTTAATTCACAAATCCCTTACACATAAGACCAACACATTTGCTCCCAAATAGAACATAATCTGATGATATATACAATAATCCATAATCCATTCCTGAGGATGCTAGTTAACATAGAAGTTGGGCAAAAAAAACCACAAAGAAGACTGATCAGTATATTGCTGCGCAATAAATTGAATTTTTTTCCCTGTTAGGTTTGTCCATATTTTACAAGGGGATGTCAAATGAGTAAGTAAATTGTTTCATTGTCAATTATATTTATCTGATGATAACTTTCAGGTCTTCCCTGCCAGTTAGCTAGCCTTAATTATTTTTGTTAATTTTTATAGGTATATTGCACATTCGTATAACTTCTTCCTGTTCCCTGCCACATTTGGCCAAATGGATTCCGAGTTCTCCTGCCGAACATCTAGTATTCAATTCCTGTCTCATTATGACTTTGACTATAATAAGGTATATTTTCTTTTATTTAATAGATAGGCAAGAATTTAAGTAGGAAAGAAACTAGATTTGGGCTTTGCCCTTAAAATGCTGTTGAAATGCAGTATTTTATTTTATTTATTTATTTGATTTGTTAATTGCTTACAAGATAATAGGTATAAGTATAAACATGAGTAAGAATACAGGAAATAGGTACAAATAAATGGGGACAATAGGACAGGGACGGTAGGCACAATGGTGCACTTATGCACGCCCCTTACATATCTCTTAGGTATAAATATAATAAAATATATTTTCAACATTTAATTTCCAGTTGAATGGTATAGATTAGGGGTGTCAAACTCAAGACCCACAGGCCAGTTTCAGCCCGCGGAGTGCTTAGATTTGGCCTGTGGGGCCGTCCTGAAAACAGCAAAGGACTGGCTTGCAGTGCCTCTGTAGTGAAAACGGAGCTTGCAAGTGCCATGTGCAGCCCTCCCGGGCTCTGTTTTTGCTGGCAGAGGGATGCAAGCTGGCCATGCTCACTTGGCCTCCCGAGGTCAAACACAACCCTGATGCAGCCCTCAATGAAATCGAGTTTGACACCCCTGTTGTAGATAATTTTTATCACTGTCAATATCTCAGCCCCCCTTGAATTGTTTCATTCTTTCTGTGAGGTCAGAACAGGGCTCCTGTCTCAGGAAAGAGAAGATCCAGCATTTGATGAAGACTCCTAGTAGGTTTGTAACTGGCCAATTCCCCAGAAAGATGTCTGGAAGTTGAGTTACGGCAACTGGACTACTTTTCTTTTTTTAGTTTGATATGTTTCACTGCTTATCCAAGTAGCTTCTTCAGTTTGATAAGCAATGAAATGTTTCAAACTAAAAAAGAAAAGTCCATTTGCCATGACTTAACTTCCAGAAACTCTTATCTGGATAACTGAGAATCTTCTTCAACATTTCCACCCCCGAAAGACCATGGTGAATGTAGGGTAAGAGGTTAATAATGGGATGGAAAGTTTAGCATGGGAGGTAAGAGATTTTAAGGATTCTAAGCGTACTGATTCTCTATCATTCTATCTAAGTAGAATAATTTAGACCAGCCTTATACAGGAGTAAATGGTTCCTTTCTCCACCCTTTTTGTCAAACGGCTTGCAACACTTTAGAGCAGGGGTGGGCAAACTACGGCCCGAGGGCCACATCCGGCCCGTTGGTCTTTTTAATCCGGCCCGCCGAAGATTGGTACAGAATTAAGGTTTGATGTGAATGATTGAATGATTGCATTCATTTGATTTTGACTTGTAAGGACAGGCATTTCGACACCAGGTAGCGGCCCGTCTGTCAAATTTTAAAAGTCAATGAGGCCCCCGAGCCAAAAAGTTTGCCCACCCCTGCTTTAGAGTTTATCAGATTACTAGATCATAGGATGAATTGTGCTTATCATCAGAGTATAAGTGATTGATAAATAGTTCAAATGTTTTTTTTTGTAAATCTTGAATTTTAATGACTACCTTATGATTTAATATATTAATGTGTTAATGTAGTTATTAGAAGCCAAGCTGAGAGAACCTTTACTTGTTTTTACTTATCCTGGTATTATACATGATTTTCTCTTAAGTCAAGAGAAAACGATCTTGATGCCTGAATTCCATACTATGTAACACTATCTATTTGCCTTTAGTTTCTTAAAGATGGAATCCCTTATATGAATGAAACACAAGAGAAGAAACTTCAGCATCTGTTATCTGGTAATTGGATGGTCCAAAGGTAACCCTTTTCCACACTATTGTTTCCACACTAATGTTGCGTTTTTTCTCCTGTGTTTCTTTATGCATTTAAGTAATTGGAGTGACAGAATCCTTCTTCTTAGAACAGTAGCTATCAGCCAATGGCACTCTACAAGAACTGAAATTCAGAAATAGTCTAACTGAGACTTCAGTTGTCATTTAAAGTCTTTAAAATGTGAATGATTAATATAATAAAAGGCCTCTAAACATACAGAAATCCTTTGTTGAAAAAGTTTTGTTTATATTGTATGACATACAGATTCTTTGGTAGATTTATTGATAGGCCTTAGGATAAATTAAAAAGCAATTCCCTGATAGATAAAAGACCCAGGGTCTTAATTTCAGACATCCTCTTCTCACAGTCTTCCTCTAATTGTCTGCCATTCTTCCTGAATTTTTGTCTGTGTTCCTTCTCACATTTCTGTGGCCATTTTGCTTTTCTAGTCTTGTGAACTGTTGCCTTTTATTTAACTTCAAATTCACAGCATTTGTTCTTTCTCATCTCCAGTATATGTTTTGTGCTGCATTCTACAGCTCACTACTCATATATTTTCCACTTCTGTCTCAGCTACCTGCTCTGTCCTTTTTGTTACAATTTTCCTAGAGATGGATTCAGTCTTCCTCATTACAGAAACATAACATTTTTATTTATTGTTTACATCAAGAAAAGTAATTGGGCTACTAATAAAAACTGTGAAGCATTGTGAAGGCATCTTGTTGTATGATAATTGGTATCTAACTCACCATTCTGTCTGACCAATAAAGGCTGCTGTGAGGAAAATGGGAGGCGGGAGAAAGATATGTTTGCTGCCTAATACATTCACAGATATAGACAGATATGAAACTTTGGGATGATTAAAAAAATCATAGGGCAACTAAGTTATTATTTGCTTTGGCCTCTGGAAGGCATCTTATTGAGAAGCTGGACCTTTTTAGAGATTTATTATTAAGAAATAGAGTTAATTTTCTGGGAACCTGAAGGTACTGGAAAGGCTGGGCTGGACAATAGTGTCATTCAATTGTCTTACTCTGCTTACTGTAGTTTTGATAGAGACAAGGTGAAAAAAGTGATTGATCAAGTAACTTGCTGGATATCCTCAGCAGAAGAGGAAGATTCTATGGTTCTGCATGATATATATGGTATGAATTAATTAAGATTCTTATATTTTTAAATTTCTTGTTTATTGGTGCCTTGAAAATCTTTTTTTATATTCTTGGGTTTAGGGAGCAGTATTCACTTTAAAGGGGATAATTATAGTTTCAAACCATTTGAACGACATGTAATAAAGAGTTTTGTGGAATGACTTGCTTTATGGTATACCTTGCAAAGGCAGTAATCTTGTCATAACCACCCCCCCAATCAAACTCAAATGTATCATTAAAATTATTGATAGTATCTTTGTAATTCTTCTGCCACCACCTGTCTTTCGGGAACTGCCTCACCTGGCTTCCTACCCCAACTCTGGACTGTGAGACAGATGTATTTCAGAGATTAAAAATTAAAAAAGTTTAATTTGTATCTGCAAAGCCACTTTGTGGCCATAGAGCATGCAAACATAGGGCTAAAGGATTCAGTCTTTCCCATAGCCCGCATTAGGAATTAGACCATAAGAGAGAAACAAAATCTTCTTTATTTTAAAAAGGAAGGAAAGATAAAACATAATTTAAAGTTGTTTAAAAATAAAATAGAAATTTATAGAAACAAAAAAGATTCCTAAAAGAAATACAATATTCTGGGTAGACCCCTTTGCATTCTTAAAAATGATTGAGGAGTCCAGAGAGCTTTGCTTTATTTACGTTAGACCTATCGATATTTCCTGTGTTACAAATTAAACCTGATTATTTTAAATTATTTATTTAGTTATTTGACTTTGCAGGCCACCTGAAAGGTCTTGAAAGGGTCTTGGGGAATCCCCAGTGATCCTCAGATCACACTTTGAGAAGTATTAGCCTGGAGAAAGCAAGGATTTATTTTGGACATGCCTTCAGAATGCATAAATATAGGAATTATTTTAAGAGAAGTACAGAGAAATAAAAATATTCAGACTTTAGCACAACAAAGGAATATAAGCCAAGAATGTGGTATAGATTCCTGGCTAAAACATATTAACCATTTCTACAGAAACAAAGTTCCCTTTTATCTCGAATTCTCCTTTTCTTTGGTTCCAAATTTGAAACAGGCTGTGGGGGGATGACAAAGACTCTCTTCTTTCCCAGCCTTGCTTCAGTGACTTTTTTGATATTTTGTCCCATTTCTCTTTCAAAACTTCAAAACTCTTCCCCCCTCCCCTTCCAGGTCGGGGGGGGGGGGTTGTCTTAATATGCATAATTTTTCTCCTTCATGGGTGTGTGTGTGTATTGGTAGTGTGGCATGAGAGAGACTTATTTCCAGGAGCTATAGCTATTAATATGTGTGTAATATACATATCTATGTGAAATAGTTCATAAACTATAACTCTATTCATGAGTACAATATTTTAACAAAAGGGTCAGTGTTTTTGATGTGGACATTTCCCTTCAAACTGATGGGTTTTGTTTTGTTTTTTGCATTGGGGAGAGGCTATAATTTTGAAAGTGTATATTTGTTTGCTATATATAGTTTGTTTTAGTGATTAAAATGCTGGACTAGAAACTAGGAGACTGTAAGTTTTAGTCCTGCCTTAGGCATGAAAGTCAACTGTGTGACTTTGGTCCATTTACTCTGTCTCAGCTGAACCTACCTCACAGTGGTTGTGGGGAAAATAGGAGGCAGGAGAATTAGATACGTTTGCTGCTTAGTACGGCCACAGTTATAGATAGATATGAAACCTTTGGGATGATAGAAATATATAAATACATAAATAAAAAAGGTGGGATAACAATATAATAAAACTAGGTTTGGCATTTTTATCCACCTCTTGAGTCCTTCTCTATCCCAGATCCTTTGGAAGGACTTGATGGATAGATAAAAATGTCAACTCTAAACATCTGGCTAGCTATACAACCAACCATAAGAATTGCAAAGCACAAAGACCTGCAAATAGAAGTAGAACAACTATGGCAAAAGAAAGCAAAAATATTCAATACTAATAGGCACCCTGGGTGCAATCCCAAAACATCTGGAGCACCACTTAAACATCATTGGCATTGACAAAATTGCCATCAGTCAATTGCAAAAGGCAGCTTTACTTGGAACAGTGTCAGGGTTCCAAGTAATACATCCATATAGCAAAGAAAACTCTGAGGCAGGTAGATTCCTCAAAGAATAGTTTTATTGGATATATCATATTGGCACAGTTCTAGTAAAAACCGACTCTGAAGGTTCTCACGGTTTTTACCTAATTAAAAGTAAAAGTTTTTCCCCTTCACCAATCAATCAGTCACGTGGTCCAATCAGGGTGCTGTTCAGTTGCTGGGTAACATCACTCCTCTCTCTGACAGGTGTGAGAATGTCCTTGGTTCTCATGAGAATGTATTTTGTTTTGGCTACACAACCCCAGTTATCTCTATTCCCCCCTCCCTATCCCTCAGCTCCAGTGTGGCAACACTGAAGCTTCAAAATGGCTTAAGTCAGGTCAGCTTCAGGGTTGACAGTATCTATGTCATTACGGTATCTGTGATGATACCTTTAACCCCATCAAATAACAACATTGGCTTATCTTGGCCTCGGGAAGGACTTAATAGGTGAATAAAAATGCCAAATCCAGTCTAAACAATTGGTTGATTGTGTGACCAACCATAATCAAAAATATACTGAAAAAAGGATAAGAAAATTTGTATGATTCTCATTTCTATTGGTATGTGTGTTTCTTATGTTCTATTAACATTTTTCCTTGGTGTCTCCGCATCATTCAATTGTATAACTGCGATGAATTTCTCACTTAAATGCTTTAATGCAAGGCTGAAGAACCTTTTTAGACACAGAAAAATATATTGTAATAATACTATTTTCAACTTTCCATTATGCTATTTACACTTTGTCTTACAGGCTTTCAAGTAATTGAACTACAGCTCATTCTAAGAAAAGCTTTTCCAGATATTTGGACTATTCCTTTGGAAGATGAAAAAGTGAGTTTAATACTGTAGGATATTAGGTAAGATTGGTATATGTATTAAGATCCTCAAAGTCAATCTGCCCCTGCCATTGTTTGTAACATTGAGATTTCTGACAAACGTTTAGCTGGGATTATACAAAAGTACTGTAGTTGTTAAATTAGGTTTGTCATATCACTAGGTACAGAACAAAGTTGGCTTATGATATAGCCTTGCAAATTACATAAATTACTTCTCTATTAGCTTATGCTATACTTGCTACATTAGTGGCTTATGCTATACTTCTCTATTAGCGGCTTATGCTATATGTAAGTGAAAATACTGAATATTGAAATAATCAACTATTTGATATATAGAAGAAGAATAAAGGTAGTGATTGTCTTAAGGTAAAATTTGCAGTATAATTTTATAAAGAATTTTTGGGCTTCGTGTCATTGGACAAGTAGAACTTGATTAAACTGTGAAACCAGCTAGCATGAAATGAAAACAGATAAGTAGAATAGGAAAAAAAGGATTGAAGAAGAGTAGAAAGTAATGAAATTTGGCATAAAGATATTGTTTTCAATGAACAGACAGTAATAACAAAGGTATTATTATTTTGTGACTTTCTATTTAAAATATTAATATAAGATTGTGACCCAAGGAACGGGTGTTAACTATTAATAAATGAAGTTATATTTTTCTAAAAAGGCATAAAAGCTTGAGCTAAGATTAAATGGGGAGTTATCTCTGAATGCTTAACTCTTTGTCCATTACACTAATTTTTCATGGATACTACAAATTGTGTTAGTTGAATCTTGTAATTGGTTGTTAGATATCGCACTTCATTATTTACTTATTGAATACAAAAAAAGTATGCAGGAGAGTTTTCTTCTTTTAGATTTTGAAAATTTAAATACTTCTCATGCCGTAGAAACTCTTGAGTCTATATATATATATATATATATATATATATAT